TGAACTTTTGGGCCTCGTTACTGGTGAGTTGGATAGCTGGTCCGGCAAGTTCACTGAGTTTCATGGGTCAGCTATCTCACTCATCAGTAGCAACCCTCTCAGTGAGCCTGCCGGGCCGGCTATCCAACTCACCGGTAGCAAGGCCCTCTCAATGAGCCTGCCGGCCCCGCTATCCAACTCTCGGTGGCAGGGCCCAGAAGCTCGCTGAATCGACTTGTGGGCTCTTTGCGTTGGGTCGGCTATCCAACTCGACAGTAGCAGCCCTCTCAATGAGCCGGCTATGCCGGCTATCCAACTCATCGACGGAGACGCCATCCTGCGTAACGCGAACCAGAGGGGAAAGCTGTGGGTGGGAAAAGAACGGAACCAAGGGACCAGCATCTTTGTTCCTGGTGCAAGACCAACCTCGGCGAGCTCGCCGCCGTTGAACTGGATCTGCACAGCATGTTGATGACTTTGGAAATCCACACACGCAAGGTAGGCATTAACCCGTTATTTACTCTTTGGGATCCGGATTCAACTAACACTTGTCTTGTACACAAGAGATGTTACCCTTCGGTCATTTGCATCAGCATCCACGCGTCTCAAACTTGTAGAGACCGTCCGTCAACGAGAAGACCCGTCTCCAGGACTTCGATAGTCGAGCTCTGATCCGGTCTGCCTGCCCCATCCTCACTTGGTGTGACCAATGCGTGCAACAACTTAGCGCAGGGATGTCTTGCTTGGTAAGTGATACTATAATCGAACTTGGGAACTTCGTCTAATATTTTCATCTTAGTCAGTACATCAAAGAAAACCGTGCGTGCGACCATGCGATCTTCTTCATTTGAAACCTTCTTGTCCCATCCTACTCAACGTTCAAGCATGTACCGAACATGTGTCGACGCAGACACGACTCTCTGGAGGATATGGTCATTACAAGCCTGAAAAGCAGAAGCCAAAGCCCGTCGAACTCAGGAGGCGGTAGACTCGGGGCTGTAGTGCAGCGCAAAAGTCCGAGCATATTCTGGCTTGTAGTGACATTGGTAGCCATCGGAGTACTCTCTTCTCGATGGATGCTGCTCCTAACATGCTAAAGGTGATGACCGAAGTACGGGAATTCGGGGGTCTGACGGCCAATTGGACCGCCGGAGCAGTGCGGCGTGCGGCCGGGTTTGTTCTTAAGATACAAATCCAAGTCAAAATATCGATCTAGCAGAATTTCATTGAAATTGAAATCGAAGACATGTGCATTCCAATGTAGCTCTACACACTAACCCAACCGCATGAACTGCAATCCTACCTCGATCCAGCCTCCGCTTTTGAGAGGGGACGGCGATTTTCCTCCAGCTTCAAGCTCTACACTGGCCTCTGGCTTCCTGCTGCCCTCTGAGATTTCGCTGCCACCGACTACAGTACCATAAAAAGACCGGACTATCTAGGTAACAACCCATTCACTCAAAACAGAAACTGATCGACAGAAAACCACCCCATCACGGTTTGTGTATGCTCAAATCGGTACGGAAAAGTGTTCCAAACTTGATGCATCTTCAGGTGAATTACAGAGCGTTCTACTACTCTTCTCCCAGTGCAACTTCCTTTCCTTTGTCTAGCTCTCCCCAACGCTGCATCAGAACCAAGACCATGCTCTGTTCCACTGAGCTCGAAGAGAGCACAGGTATCTCAAGTCATGAGGATATCTAAATCGCCAAGCTTGAACCGAGTAATCATGGTTTTCTTGTCTTCATCTCCTGTTTTCGACGCCGTTCTAGAATGAAGTTGGGACAGTCACGAGAAGAGCCAGTACCTAACGTGTATCATATTTTGTTTGCACAGGTAGAATCCCTCCTCGCTGGTCGGCTCTGTTGACCACCCATGGCCGCCTTCGTTGATATGAGTGTTCATCGCATGCGGACGAGAACGATTATTTCCCTAATGGCACTAGGTGCTAGAAGATACCTTAGAAGCACGTGCGTCAATATTGATAGCATGTCCTAGGCCAGCTGGGACAGGATCAGGCCTGATGGTAGTCCTTTCAATTTTGGCGAGGTAATCTGAGGATGGCTGATGGACTTGGGGAGGGCAAGCCAGGGGAAAGCAACGGCCACTTTGACATGCCACGCCGAAGCACTGTACTGCTCATCGAACACTGCTATATACTCTGTACTCCATACAAGATGAGAAACGGTGGCTGGAAGCGACAAACACTCGACGAGATGATAGAGAAACCTGGTGGTCTTCAGGCAATACTTCTCGCCAGTAGCCTCTTCATATTTGAGCGGAAGGCCAAAGGCAATATGGAGTTTGCGGAGTGATTGACTTAGTTCCAGAAAGAAAAGAAAAGAAACCAAGAATTGTGTATCAAGCGTACTTTTGTACCGGGGACGTGGATAAGATGCAGATTATGAGGCGTTGATCGAAGCGTGGGTGAGCCCTGACGAGCATATCTGTATGTCAGCTCTATCCATAAAATGACCTCAACAGAGAAAAGGGGCCAGAACTTGCAAGGTTTGGTCGAATTGACTGACTTCCCTTGTCGGTTTAGATAATACGCTTCAAGTGCAAGTGCAAGTGCAAGTGAGAATTCGGCCTGAGACGCTCAGCCAGAGGTGCTCCTTGTTATTGTTGCGCTGTATCAGATGAGCGTGCCCGAACTCGCGGAAGTAGTCATTTTGATCTGAATGATCTAGCCTGACCCGACTTCTATGATCCTTACTTCCTCCTCCCGATTACACCTCATACCGGCGAGACAGTCTTCTTGAAGCTGAAGAGCATGCGATGGCATCACAACAACACAAGATGTCCGAGATAGAGGTTCTGGTGGATTATCTGGGGACATCGCTGCGCCACAATCGAGACTATATCAGCGACTAGTGGTTACCGAGACGCAGAATCACATCAAGTGCTGTGGTCCGGGTGGCTATGTGAATATAGATTGGCTGAGACCTTTAGATGCTATTAAAAACGTGATAGCACCTTCCACGGCTCTGATACTGGACGAAGTAGCAGGAAGTTGCGTCATAATTCTGTTTCGTAGGGGAAAAACTGTTTCCTGCCTTCGCGATTTTTCTATGGAGAGTGACTGGTACTTTGTGCCTCTGAAACCGACGTGAGCCCTACCACCTGGGGCATGAAAGCGTTTTAGCGTTCGCAAAGGTATGAACATACTGCGCTCGAGTCTGGACAGTGGCCTGACCTGATGGCGGCCTTCTTAGCAGGAATCCCTTGGCTCAGTATTCAAACCGCGTGCGCTGTTACCTCACTTAGGGTCGATTTCATATACTTGCTTACATCGGCGCCCCCCCCCCTCAAGGAAAGTATACGGCCAGCATAACTGGAACCATGCCAACGGGGCGTTGCCGCCAATCCATACACGCTTTAGTTTGTCTACATGGAATCACTATCACCTTTGTCTGCACCCGCTTCTCTTATCTATTCCCTGTTCGCATTGATCACGTCAAATCCGGGGATTTCCCTTCTTGTTTTCAGAGCACAATCTTGTTCACGACTAACAGCCAAGAGGTTGGGTATGGTTAGAAAAAGGACAGGACGTGTTTGAAACAAAAGGGGGGGAGGAAGGAGGCAAGCTGTGCGTTAAAATGTGAGGGTCATCCGGTAGGATGAACACAATTTTTGCTCTGACATGTATATATTATCCTTGGTACGCTTTCCCGGGTTGTTCTGTTCTCTAGGTAGTGTAACCGAAGATGAAATTCGTTTTCTGGTCCACCTTAATCTCATATGAACATTAGACGGCGTAGGTACTATCAAACATCATATTACCATAGAGATACCATCCCTCATCTGAGGCTTCGTGTTTATAGCCTACTACTGTCAATAAAACACGGCAAATTCTTCTCGGAATTGCATATACTAGCTTTGAAAACCGCTTATCTGCACTACAAGCCCTTTCTTTCTGGCCCCAGAAGCTGAGTTAGAGACAGGGTTGGATGCCCTAGCAGTGCTGTCCGGGGAGATTATCACGACTACTGTGAGCGGACGACAGGGCCCGCAGTTCTTAGTCCTCGAAAGGCTGTCACGCTGGACTCTTCTGTCGCCTCCTGTCACTCCATGCTGAATACGGCACTCGAGAGAGGCCTTGATAAAGGTAAAAAAAAAAGGGCAAGCAAGGAAGACAAAAAGATGGTCCCAGAGGGGGTCGAACCCTCGACTTTAACGTTATTAGCGTTACGCTCTAACCAACTGAGCTATGGGACCCGGTTGGTTGAAAAGTGCCATAATCTATTGCCTTATGACGGCGTGGCTTTGTACATCATAGTGCCTGAGGTTTCTGTGCTCTACCGCTGATCTGGATTGTAGTAGGGCTGGCTCGGATCTAGCCGAATCCTGGTACAGTAACTATAACCATGACCCAACCTGCATTTGAATACATACTGCAATAAATGCACCGTGAATGTTCTAAGCACATTGCACTACGTCTTAAGATGGCACGCATTTCCCGAGTCACCCATCATGGGCACAGCCTGTAGCTAGATTACAGCACTCGTCACTCGGTAATTTGCGCCTGATGTTGCGACTGAGATACGTAGCCGTCAACGACGTTGTTACAAAGGCCAACGACAGGAGACTATATCCAAAGCCCATTTGCATTTAGGTGCCAGTTCGTGCAACTTTCACGGGTGTAGACACTAGAAGCCGAATTTTCTCTTACAGGTTTTATTCTCTCGTAGAATTGTACCCGCGGACATGCTTCATATTTAATGTTTAAACCTGAACTGAGGGCATACAGGCGGCCACTGCCGGAATCGGGTCGAGCGATGGGAGCACGCCTGGTATCACAGCACCCCAGCATTTCAAGGACCCCAAAGAGCAACGCTCCTTACCCAGCTGGGATTGTATCTATATAGAGAATCCCAGCAGACAGCTGGCGAGCAACGGCAAAAAGATAATCGGCCCGAGCCGCGGATCGAACGCGGGACCTCTCGCAGATATGCTTGGGTTTGGAATCCCTAAGCGAGAATCATACCACTAGACCACCCGGGCTGAATTGTTGAAAGGGCATGGAAGTGTGCCGTCTTCAACACTTGCCTCAGATAGCAGACTGCATCCCGGTTGTTCAGCTGCCTGAAATTGAGAGCCTCGTGGCGGATGTCGTTCTAGTTGAGGTATGTATCGTGTCTGGAAATGCAATCACAGTATGCCAGCTACTGAATTGTGCTCTCTGTGATGTAAAGCAAGAAGGTGCTTTCTCCGGAGCAGTATCCAGTTATTGGACTCGCGGTTCAACCAGCATGTAGGTGGAGAATTGACCTGCGGATGGCGGAATATACATCGGTGCCAAGGTAGGGCTTGGTGGTTCCTTTGTTGCGCTTGTGCCTCCGCCCCACGGCGCTCCTCCCTCAACCTGGAATAAGATTTCCCTGCACGAAGAGGATATGATAGCCCCCTTCTTGATTTCTTCAATACTGGCAGGCGCATTCGTTCCCACCGTTCATGGCTACGAGCGAGAGCGACTGTTCTGGCAACAAATCTATTAATCTAAAGTAACCTCATATTGCAAGCACTTGCCTCCAACCGACATAATGACTTGCCATAGCATACATTTATCAATGCCTCTTCCTTCAGTATGATTCTAGCAGCAGGCCGAGCACAATTGCTGTCTTACCCTGCCTTATCGTAGAACATTCGACTACAGTAACGGGGCAGCTGTAGCGATAGCCCTATATCCCATCCCCAGGACTCCCCCCCCCCCCCCCGGCAAAAAAAACCATTAAACGAATCCATGAAGAACAACGCATACAGGAAACAATTCCTGCAAAGCACACTAACTCAGGCACCACACAGGGGCACCTACCACACACCACAACCACCAGAAAGGACACTGCCGCCCCGCACGGAGGCGACACATTCAAAATCCCCGAAGAACCAACTAACAATGGCATTATCCGAGGCCTTTATCCCACACGCCTTTGACACCCCCTTCAAGCCTCTTTGTCTCAACCCCACGACAAGGAGACCATTGTCCATGCAACAGCGAACCTAAACTCAATCCAACAAGCAGACTTGTTGCCTAGCATGAGATCCCCAGTAACTGTAGCATACAAACTTTGAAGGTTCAATCTCTCCCTCCAGGGTATAAGAAACCATTACCCCTCGAAATGACCGCCCCCGCGCGCGCACCCCCGGTTGGTCTGGCTACCACTTATTCTTGTTTTCCATGCACGACAAAAGCAGCAGGGTTGCTTCATACCAATGTCTTCGATCCGAGGAATAGTTTCAACAACAGATCTTATACAGAACAAAAGATACGACGACCCTCGCCACTAGGGAATCAAGTGGCATCTATCAACGGCCGCTCAGATGAGAGGTGGGAATAGAGGCGGCAAGGGCGGTGGCAGAGGTGGTTTCAATAAACAGAATAACCGCGGCGGTGGAAGAGGGGGCGGTTTCAACAACCAGGGTGGCAGAGGTGGATTCAAAAACAACAACAACAACAACAACAACAGAAATAGTAATAGTGGCAGAGGAGGGTTTAATAACAACCAGAACAACAACAATAACTGTGGCGGCCAAGGGGGGAACAACAACCGCGGTGGGAGAGGTGGTGGCTTCTTCAACAACAATAACAACAACAACAACAATGGAAACAATTGGAATAACAACAATAATAACAACAGCAACGGCAAGAACGTCAAGAAGAACAAGAAAGTCAACTGGTATCGCCCACTCCTCGACCCCTACGACTTCGAAGACAACTCGACCAGGCTGTTGCAGGGCTGGGGGTTTGACGGCAGCAAGGTCCCGGAGCCTGAGGATATAGAGATGACGGACGCACCTCCGCTGGTGTATCCCGAGTCAGACGATGATATACTGATGGGGGGCGTCTCCGATAACGAGGACCCTGATACCTCAAGGGGGGGCTGGTCCTATTTGGAGTCCGATTCGGATACCTCGGTAGGGGATCAGTCGGCTTGTGGTGCACAGGGGCGGAGATTGTCTGATTCAGATATCTCGATGAGAAGTTGGTCTGATTTGGACTCCGATACTTCGTTTGGAGACCGTTCTGACTCGGTTACTTCAGTGGACGACGAGCAGTCCGACGCAGACGACGCGGAGGGCGTCCGTTTTGAGTTGTACAAGTCGTGTAAAGACCGTCCTGGTACACCAGTTCCCTCGAGGAAATCAAGCTCGAGTTCGGAAGCCTCGAGCCACTCATCGGATCCGGACTACGTCCCAGACGATGAAGAGGAGGAGGAGGATGAAACACTCGAGCCAGGGCAACAAGCCCCAAGCGACCTTTTTGGACAGATGTAATCACTTAGCGAAGATGTCGGAGGAGTCCGTTGCTAGATACTCAAATTACCGTGGATGAACTTGTTGTAAACGTCATCATATATGAGGGCTTTAAATTCTGCTGAGGAAGATATCAATATGCCTTGAAGTTTATCTCTATGCCTCATAAGACGGGATTAAGTGTGATGGATAGCGGATAAAGAGGAAGATTAGGAGGAACAAGTTAGTTACGGGAGGGGAGATATGTCGTCCGGGGCGGTGCTGAAGATGCCACCATGGGATATCAGAACGGGTGAATCACACACGTATTTGAGGTACCAAAGGTATGAAATGAGCGTCGGGACAGCCAATATCGAGTTCCTCCTTGGGGCTAAGAGATCAACCCTGCGGGCGCCGGGGTCAACGACTAAGCTGGCACTAATTTTGGTCTAGTTTATGGTCTTTAAACTTACACTATGCAATTAGTCTACAAGCCTTGTGCTTAGTGCTTACGGCGCCTCTCTTCACTGAGCTAAACTACGAATATACTACTATCTTCTCCCCAGGCCCCACCAGACCCCATAATAAATAAGAAGCGACCTGCTCGACCCCCTCCCTTCCCCTTCTCAATCAACCATCAACTTTCGAGCTCTTGCTTGACTACCTACCTACCCACCCTCCCGCCCACTCACCAGCACAAACATGGCCGCCAACCCCACCACCAAGCCCCAGGCAATCGTCCTAGTCCACGGCGCATGGCACTCGCCCTCCCACTACTCCGACTTCGCGACCGCCCTGCGCAAGCGCGGCCACGAAGTCCACATCCCACGTCTGCTGACCATGAACGGTGTGCGGCCGCCCAACGCCCACCTCGAGAACGACACCGACCTGGTCCGCAGCTACGTCGAGAGCCTGGTCGAGGCCGGCCGCGAGGTCATCGTGCTCATGCACTCCTACGGCGGGCAGGTGGGCACAAACGCGCTCACAGGCCTCTCGACCACCCAGCGCCAGGCCCAGGGCCTTTCCGGGGGCGTGAGTCAGCTCGTCTACATTGCCGCCTTCGCCGTGACTGAGGGCACGTCGATGATTGATGTCGTCGAGGCGCACGGCCACGGCGAATACATACCGCTCGCCTTCGACTTCGCAGAGGACAAGACGACCGTCAGTCGGGATCCGAAGGGTCTGATCGTGGGGCCGGGGCGGTCCGACGAGGAGCTCGAGGCCTATGTCGCGGCCTTCCGGCCCCATAATGGCGGGGCCTGGTATGAGAAGGTGCAGCGCTGTGCGTGGCGCGAGGTCCCGCGGCTGGCGTACATCCAAGCGACGTTGGATATGAACGTGCCGCTGCAGTACCAGAAGGATCTGGTGGAGGTGATGGAGCGGGAGACGGGGCGTCCGGTGAGGACGTTTGAGGTGGAGACGGGTCATTGTCCGACGTTCACGAAGCCAGAGGAGGTGGCGGCGATTGTGCATGAGTTGGCGGTTGGGAATTGATGGATGGGCGGGACCCCTGATAGAGGGGTTTCTTGTTATTTGTAGGAAATCAGATAGCTGTTCCGGCGGATTAATCATTGTCATAGAAAAGAAGCAATAACACATGCTCCCAGATTGACTTGACTGTCATTTAAAAACATGAGGAAGACTGTAGCCGGGTTCAATATCGCGTACTGTGCCTGCCGCCCCGGGCCGTTGACGCAGCCCACCGTCCAGGTCACCCATAGACCACCAAATCGTAACAATCTATATCTCACAAACAACAGTAAAGAAAATACCAAGAACGGCCGAATATGTAGCGATCTCGGGGGGTAAACAATACCCTATCAGACCCATGGTTCAGCGTGAACAATTACGTAAAAAAGGTTGACGATAGCGCAGAGACATCTGTTCTATATTACTCAGGCATGACCCACACCCACCAGCAACTTAGACCGGATGGTCGAGTTGGCAGGTCCTCGTGGCCAAGTTGGTTAAGGCTTCACGCTTATAATACGAAGACATTTCATGTATCGTATCGTGACGATCGGCGGTTCGAGCCCGCCCGGGGACATTTCTTTTTGGTTTTGGTAGTGGTGGCGACTCTCTCCCCCCCAGTACAGCACACACAAAACCGCCCTTTGTCTCTCTCTTTTTTAACTTCTTTATGTCCATGTTATTTATTTATTCTTTTGTTGCTTTGTCTGCCTTGGCTGTATCCTACAAGATATCCGGAGTCTTGGTGATACGCGATTTGTCAATATCTGCTGTGTATGGAGAAATATCACAGGACTGGCCACTTCCTCTATGCGATTAGCCTGAACATGGGATGAAGGGTATTTCGTAAGACCAATATGAGAGATTGCCTGATGTGATGGAGATTTGGAAAGAAGGAGCACTGGCAAGAAACATGCGCAGTATGTATGTGCGTGGCCTGTCAAACCACGCCCCATTTGGCTCTGTGGATATTCCAAAGGTATTTTAGAGACCCCGGAGTCTCGGGTCTCAGCTGAGGTACTGTCCAGGAAGTCAGTGGGATGTATTCATTGGTGTGTGGACTTGGGAGGACACATTCCGCTCTCCATCTGTTCATGCACTTGGATTTGGAAATACACTTCCAATGGAATGACCGTCGAGTATCAAGCAGCTTTCCTTGGCTCGGTGAGAGCAGGATCTTTGTAGAAGGTGATCAGCTCGGAGGGATTTCTCATCTTACCCATCGTCTTAACTTCGAATGACGTCCAAAACAAAGTATGCGTGTATGGAAAGGTCAACAGTATCCGTGGCGACCAAAACAAAAAGAGAAATTTGAGTGCATCATCCGTGAATCGAACACGGGCCTCATCGATGGCAACGATGAATTCTACCACTAGACCAATGATGCTGGTTGATGTAATCTTGTTCTTTTATAGCCATATGATGCAGTGCAAGCCTAATCTAGCCCCATTCCACAATCTATCCCATTCGTCAATCACCAGTGATACTTTCATGCCGATTATCGATGGCTTACCCATGCCAACATGTGACCCCAGGTCAGTATCGAATAATGGACAGTGCTTATCAGCTAGCGCGAACCCGGTTATCAGTTATCCATCTTCAAACATCATCCCATGAAAGCGGGGTAAACAGCCCATTCGACCCTCTCGCGCAACATCAATCGAACCATTATGTCTTCCATCCCCGAAGCTGTACCCAATGTGCTCAAGCAGCTTCCGGCCTTTCACCATGGCCCGGGTGGTGCAGTGGCCATCCTTGAAGACGGAAACGTGCTTGGTCAACATGTATGGGGGTATGCTGATATCGACCAGCGCATTCCGATGACCCCGGAAACGATGATGCCTATCTGCTCGATCACCAAACAGATGGTGTGCATGTGCCTTAAGGCACTCGAGAGACAACTACAGTCCCAGCTCGGAGGCGATGATGGTCAAGTCCAGTCACACCTAGAATCCCATTTTCGCGAGGTATGCCCCGATAACCTCGACGCCTTCGCAGAAGCCTCCAGACCGAGCCTCCGTCAACTCTGCGACAACCAATCCGGGCTGCGAGACTACTGGGCCCTGACTACACTCTGGGGCGCTCGACCGGACGGCGTCTTCTCATTGCCCGAAGCCGGTGAAAAGATGCTCGAGCGCCTGGGTGTCCCTCATTTCACCCCAGGGACCCAATACTCCTACGCCAACACCAACTTCCACATCCTGGCGCGGGTCATCGAGCGCTGCAGTAGCGGCTGTTCCCCCTCCGGAAACAAGTCGTTGGGCGAGTGGCTCAGCGAGCAGGTTTTCACCCCGGCGGCGATGGCGTCCGCGTGCTTACATCCGGACAATGCATCTTTGCCCGGAGATTGCGTGGGGTACGAAGGGGACGCGGCGCGCGGCTACATCGCCGCTGCCAATCGAATCCACTGGTCCGGTGATGCGGGCGTTGTGGCTTCGCTGGCGGACATGATCGCCTACGAGAGGTTCCTCCATCGCAGCCAGGCGGACGAGACGAGCATCTATCGGGAAATGGCTCTCCCTCCGACTTTCGCGGACGGGACCCCAGCCCCCTACGGCTACGGCCTCGAACACGTTGTGGTGGTGGGCGTGCCGACAGTCGGCCACGGGGGTGCCCTGCGCGGCTACCGCCTGCACAGGCGTCATGTTCCCTCTCGGAAGCTGTCTGTAATAGTAATGTTCAATCATGAGGCGGACGCGGAGATGGCAGCGCAGGATATTTTGGCGAGGCTTCTGAAGAAAGACGAAGTGCTACGCTCAGTATCCCACAGTGTGACGCTCAGCGCGCAAATCTGGCCGGGATCCTACTGGGACGAAGAGGCTTGCCTGGCCATTGAGGTGGAACATCGCCCTGATACTGGGGATATTGTCGTCACCTACGCGGGCGAACCGGACACTTTGGTCCTCGTGCGACCAGATCGGGCTGAATCTCGCACCACCTTGGCAACGCTGGAGGATGGCCGTCTCCGTCTCGACTGGCCGCAGGCGAATAGGCACATCACTGCCCACCGGCTTGCCCGCTCTCCTACACAGCCAGACGGGAAGGCTTTTGCTGGGACTTATGTCTGCCGCGAACTGGACTCAACTTTCCAGTGTGTCGAAAGTGGCGGACAGCTGTATGGATACTTCGATGGTTTTCTCGGGCGTGGCCCGGTGCATTTTATGCGCTACTTGGGCGAGTGCAAGGACGGATTCGTGTGGGCTTTAGCCTGTCCGCGCGGAATGGATGCCCCCGCACCGGGGGACTGGAGTCTTTGTTTCACTCGCAACGAGGATGAGTCAGTCTCGGGCGTGACGGTTAGTTGTTGGCTGGCTAGGCGTGCCGTGTTTGCACGAAGGTCGTAGCGGTTGGCTTCAGTCAGACATGGCTCAAGCCTTGTCGATATAAATTACTAGTATGGTATGAGCACGCGCATGGATATGCCAATTTTCACTGTTCTCCATCACAGCTTCGTGGCTCATTTATCTTGGATCGTCCTAGCCAGCCAGGTGATTCTTGTTGAGTGACAAGACTCAAGCAGGAAGTTTTAGGTGTTGACCCGGACGGTAGTAATATAGACTTAGGGCTACAGTATGGCTGTTATCTTATCTGGCGATCATGTGAAAGAGCAGCATGATGTCACCGAGAACTCCATTCTATGCAACGGATAAGATCACACTTGACCAGAACAATTTAAACGAGTCTAGTCGACTAGACTTTTACCTCAGCTAGTATCAGATAGAGTACCAAGCGACAAAAAACACCTGAAGTACAGTGCCTTATCTGCATACGCGCAAGGCCCGCACCAGACTTTCCAGTTGGAACCACCAACCTATCAAAGGGAGGTAGTGAGCCACACCGCCCAAAGTAGCAGCCTAAATCATCAGGCCGGCAAAGCTACCTTTCATCGCCGCGCCTGCAGCCCAGCCCGGCCCGCAATCGCGCGCGCATCTCCGAATATTTGTTCCCTCGAAGCACCACTGTCACTATCATCATCATCATCATCATCACCACCTCCTCACCTCCCACCACACAGCTCGCATCCACAAAGTTGCACACCACAATGGCCCTAGTCGCCTACTCTGACTCGGAAGCCTCCGACTCCGAACCCGAAACCACCACCATCCCTAAGAAGTCCACATCCACAACCACCGCACCAGCACCAGCACCACCCTCGTCAACAACAACAAAACCCTTCCAAATCGACCGCACCAACCCCCGCAAAATCCGCGTCGCCCTCCCCGACCTCAAACCCGACCCCAGCACTAACCCCGAAGACACTGACGGACCCGCGCGCAAGAAGCCCCGAACTGGTGGAGGTGGTGGCGGCGGCGGCGGCGGCGCATTCGCGGGATTCAATGCGCTCCTCCCTGCCCCCAAGAAACCCACCCTTAAATCCTCCGCGACTGGATCCAGCCGGAAGGTATTCAGTCTGAAGACGGGGGCGACGCCGGGGTTCGATCGGCAGGCGGACGCGGAGATGCGGAGTGAGATGGCGTTTGGGCGGTTAGGCGGGGATGAGGATGGGGATGAGACGATTCCGAAGGCGGGGAGTTTGCGGGATGATTTGGATGGTGATAACTTCGGGCAAGGGGAGGGGGGAGGGGAAGAGGGGAAGAGGGAGGATCCGAAGACGAAGACGAAGACGAATACAAACACAAACCCCCCGCCGCAGGAGGTTACATTGAAGGGGAATCCGATGATGTTCAAACCTTTGTCGGTGGGGCGGGGCACGCAGGGGAAAGGGAAGCGGAAGGCCGCTGGGCCGATTGCTGTTGTTTCCGGGAGTGGTGGTGCTTCGGGGCTGTTGAAGAAGGATGTCGGGGGTGATTCGTCTGCTGGTGGTGCTGGTGCTGGTACTGCTGCTCCTCCGGCGGCGACGGCGCCAGCGCCAGCACCACCCAAACCCAAGATCAGTCTGTTCTCACTCTCCTCGTCAACAGAGAAGACCGCCACCGTCACCGCACCAGCACCAGCAGCCTACGAACCCCTGGTCTACACCAGCACCCAAGAAGCAGCGGCGCCCGCCGCCGCCGCCGCCGCCGAACTCCCACACCCCTCCTACCCTGCACCCACAGGCAACACCAACAATCCCCTCAGCGCCATCGCCGACGACCTCAACCTCACCCGCGCCCAACGGCGCCAACTCTTCGGCCGGTCCGCCGACCTCTCCGGCACCACCGCAACCGCGGCCGCCCCGCGCGTCCTCCACTTCAACACCGACCAGGAGTACGCCGCCAACCAGCAGATGGCCCACGAGGACCTTGCGGCCGCGCAGCATAACCCCGTCCGGGCGATCGCGCCGGGCAAGCACACGCTGCAGCAGTTGGTCAGTGCGGCGAGCACGCAGCGGGAGGCGCTGGAGGAGAGTTTCGCCACAGGGCGGAGGAACAAGAAGGAGGCCGGGTCCAAGTATGGGTGGTAGATGGTTGTCTCTCTTGTTGGCTGGGTTGGGTTGTGATTGGGGGCTGTCTTTTGCTGATGGCTGCCGAGGGCTAAAGGCTAAAGGCGAAAGGCTAAGGGGGAAGTGGGAAGGTTGGAGGTGAAGTCTGTTTGGGAGAATTTGCACCTAAGAGTGTCTTGTAGCGAAGTTGGGCGAAACTGCGCAGCTGTGTTGCTGCATGTTGGAGTGTGTCATCTTGGTTCATGAGATAATCGATCCAATCTTACTATATGCCGAAATCTACATTTCGGAGCAGCTATCATGCATGAAATCTATTTGCGAAACTATATGCAACAAGTATATACAGGAAATGCTAACCCAAAACTTTTGTATCTACCCCTAAACATGACACCGCCCCGTGGTAGCACTAAGAAGAAACATCCACCACCTCGGCGAACCACTGCTTCAGCGCCGTCGCCAGAACCGCGGGGAGCTCCCGCACATCACGCACAACCAGATAATAAGGGAAGGGGAATCCTTCGAGGTAGCGCTTCATCTTCAGCTTCATCTCGCCGCTGCCGCTCTCCAGGTCCGGCTCGAAGCTGGCCTGGGTGAGGTCGAGGATGGAGCTGCCCTTGACTGCGTCCACGATGATGAAGACGATCATGATGCGCTCCTCCTGCGCCTGGCGCACCAGGCGGCTGATGGTCTCGTGGTCCTCGCAGATGCCGTCGGAGATGATCAGCTCGAGCTGCCACAGGTCGGCGTTGCCGCCGCCGGGGGACTGCTTCCAGCGCGCCTCGCGGAACAGCGCGATCGAGTCGGCGATCAGCTTGCGCACATTGGTGCCCGTCTGCTGGTAGCTGAAGTGCTGGAAGACCTGGGTGCCAGCCTCGGAGGAGAACGGCTTGCCGAACTCGTGCGCCACCCGCACGTGGTCCTCACTTCCGAAGCCGAGCACGCAGAGGTCGCCGGCCTCGAGCATGCTCAGACTCTTCGCCACGAGAGCCAGGGTCTCGAAGGCCAGCTGTCCACTGCCGCTCTCCAGCATGGACTTACTGTCGTCGACCGCCAGCATAATCTGGTAGTTGCGCTTCGAGGGGATCGACCGCCGCATCCAGATCTTGTCCCGCTTGTACTGCGAGGCGATGTACGGGATAATTCGCTTGATGTTGAGCCGCTTGCCGGTGCGGAAGTCACCGCGGAGTTTGGTCGCAAGCGTGGGGGCAAGGATAAGCCGCAGCTGCTCCGTAAGCGACAAGGAGAGATCGGTGGTCGCAGACTCGTAGTACGACCAGAGTCGTTGAGCTTCGTCCCGTGGCGTGAGCGGGGGCAGGGTCGAGGATAGATGAATTGCAGCCAGATGTGCGTCGACCTCATCCAATTCCTCATCGGCTGCCTCCTGGCCTGCAGTGGCATCTGCCCGCTCCTGGCTCTGAAGGTTACCAGGGATGAAAGCGCCAGCCGTCTGCGACTCAGCGGCGGCGCCTCCCTGGTCTAGCTGCATCTCGTCTTCAAGTCGGTTCTCTGGGAGGTCCTGGATATTGTCGTCGGTGATGTCTGGCAGGAGTTCATTGTTCTCGTCCGGCTTGACATCCGATTCGACGCCCTTATTCTGGTCCAGAGCCTTGGCCTGTTCTTCGTTGGCTTGACCAAGCGCTTGGGTATCGGCAACGTCGTCTTGATCCGCCAGATGTTCGAAGTCGGCATCCGCCATATCAGTATCCTCAGGCAGTCGGGTTTCGGCCTCCTCATCTTCCTGCTTGGAAGCATCCATTATCTCCTTCTGTCGACGATGCCATTGCTCGAGGACATCGCCCAGTTTCTTGAACGCTTGGAGTTGAGGATCCTCAGGGTTGGAATCGTTGGCGCCGCCTTCATCCTTATGCCTTTGATTCTCATCTCCTTCCTGTGCAGCACCGGTCTTCTGCTCCTTCTCGTCAGAGGGATCAGTGGAGCCACTCTCTTGTTGCGCGTTACCGGACGAGCCTTTCTCCTGGTTCTGATCTTGCTCGGCCCCAAGGCCACCGTTGACAGCTTCGCTAGGAGCGACTTCCTCGCCAGCAGCCTCGTTCTCATCGCGTTGGGCAAGGAAGTCATCTTCCTGATTCTCTTCTTCCTCTGCCTCTTCACCGGCCTCATTCGCCTCATCATTACCTTCAGCCTCGTCCGCGTCGCCCAGCTCATCATCGGGACCAGCTTCCTCGGTCTGATCAATCTCCTGCTCCTCCCCATCCTGTTCCATGGTCTCATCTTCAACGCCGTCTCCCTCCATTTGCTGCTCTTCTTCCGCAGGAGGAAGGTCATTATCCATCATATCATCATCAAAGCCGTCGTCTTCCTCGGGCTCTTCGTTACCCTTCTCATCGCCATCCAATTGCATCTCCTCTGGAAGATCGAGCGCCTCTTCTTCCTTGGCATGTGGATCGGTGACATCCATGTCTTCACGCCCAACAGCCTCACCCTCCTCATCAGGAGCCTCTTCACCCTCTTCGTCATCTTCTTCCTCTTCCTCCTCTTCACCCTCCTTGTTCTCACCCTTTTCAGCTTCCTGACCAGGTTGCTGGTCCGGCGCGGCCGTCTGCTCGTCGTTCTCCGCCGCTCCCTTGCCCTCTTGAGTCTCAGTCTCCTTCTGTTGATCATCGTGCTCACCATCCCACATCTTCTCGTCGACAGCCGAGGCATCGAGATCATCAACGTCGCCCACCTCTTCGTCGATATCATCCTCTTCGTCTGAGCCGCTGTCATTTTCGTCTTCATCGTCTCCCTCCTTCCTCTCACCTTCTTCGCCTTGCATCTCCTCCTGATCCATGTTGACCGCATCTTCGGAGTTCTCGATCTCTTCATCGGTCTTCTGCTTGTCCTCCTGGGCGAGTTCTGTCAAGTCCTCATCGTCGGCTACATCTTTGCTGATGTCTTCGGCTCCCTCACCCTCTCCAAGACCGGTGCCACTCTCCAACTGGCCAGACTTGCTCTCCTCCGTGGACGACTCGGACGGGCTACAGAAGCCTTCCGATGCGATCTGCGTGAACGATTTAGCGAGGATGTAAGACATCTTACATGTCTCTTTGTGCACCGTCAGGTAGCGATCGACCACGTCTCGACAGATATGCGCGAACTTATTCAAGATCGGCAACAGGGTCGCCGTCAAGGCAATGGCGAACGGAAGGCTGGAAGGCGAGCGGGTCTGCAGGTGCTGCAGCTTGCCAAGGACAGACTCGAGGGAAGTCGAGATGTCCGCCATACGAAGAAGCCTGAGGGCTCGGACGAAGAAGTCGTCGCTCCGGGACAGCGCACCAGGGGCGGTGATTTGCGACGGAGCTTCGTTCAGCTTCTGGATACTGACAAGGATCTTGTCTGCAGCAGCAATGAGACTCGAGTCGTATTCCTCGATGGAAACGCCAAGATCATGGCTCTCAGACTCATATGCGACGGCATTGACCTTCGACCATGGGATGATCTGGCCCAGAACAAAGGACAGGTCAGGACGCTCCTCGGTCCACGTGGCGAGGTCGAAGTTCAGCCTGGTGAAAGCCGTGCAAGCTTCTTCCACGGTGGTCTTGTGCACACGTGAAGCCATTCCCCCAGGCAGCTCCGGGAGATGGCTCAGTGTGATCTTGAGGCGGTCAAACGTGTCCTTCCAAGCCTGCAGGCTCTCAATCACGCCTGTAGAGTCGACGCCGGAGAACTTGGCATGAACTCCCATGACAGTGATCGCCAAGCCAATGATAGGAGCCAGCCATGCTACTGCCCTTGTAATATCATCTCTTCCATTCGAGAAACTTGAATGGGCCTTAAAGATAGAGAGGGGATCAGCGGTCCAAAGGTTGGCGACCTTCGAAAGCAGTGAATCAAGCGATTTCAAATTAGAAAGTGCGGGAGAAATCGAAGTCCTCTGCTTACGGACGAGGTGCAGGAGGTGCTCCACAGATCCCGAGCTTCTGGAGATCTCGACGTTGCTAAGATCCTCAGAGTAGTCGCGCGCCGCTAAGCGGGCACGAGGCAGCAGGTCCAGGAAACGGTGGAAATATGAGTCTGCCTTCTTGATCAAATTTACGTCGGCGATGCCAGCTTCGAACGCCGGGACGGTGGCAAGGACTTGTGGAACAGATGCCTGTGCCTCCAGCAGACTGGTGTTGACGTTACGTTTAACACCCATCTCGTAGATCCGATGTAACGTGTCGGCATAGAAACGACGCTTCTGAACCTTGAGATGCTGGACATCATCCTTGTTCTCTTCCGTCAAGGTCTTCGGAGTCTGTGACTTGAATTCCTTGATACTCTCAACGACATATTTGACAAAGCTTTCGAGGTCTTCAGCAACATCGAATTCTTTCGAGATCGAACCATACACCTGCATCATGCTGCTAGCAGTGTTGTCAGGGTTCTTGAATCGAGGTGGTCTATCGACCCAGGCTCTCTCCTCGGTCTGACACATCGCCAGGGCTTCGGGGAAGACAAAGGAAGGAAGAATCATTCGTTGAGGAGCAGCCGTATCCTCGTTGTCCTCTGGCATGTCTTGCTCCAGGATAGGCTGAGCCGGCTGGGCCAAAGCCTCTCTATACTTGCGGACCAACTTGAACAGTTTGACGTGTGACCGTCTAGCACTTTCCCGGAGGGCGACAATGTTGGTATCCTTCCAGCTAGCAAGCTGAATTTGCTCCTTAATATTCTTCTCAAGAGCCTGCCTCTTTTCAGCCAACAATTTAAGCACGGGAGGTTCAAACTGTCTGTAGCGCTGGAGGAAATTGTCAAGAGCAGACGTGAGTTGACTCAATGACGGAAGATCTTCCACATAGAGTAGCAACAAGGACTGAAAGTTCTTGATCAGTCGGAGACGCTCGCTGTACTGTCCAACAGTGGTAGAGCGGAAGAACTGTTCCAGAGTCGCAGTAACCTCTTGGATGTGGTCCTTCAGTTCCATTTCACCGGATTCAGCAATCTGGATCGGAGCCCGGACCAAGGCCTCATAAGTGATGAACCACCATGAGCTGACATCCTTGAGGCATTTGTCGTTTTCCAAATCTAAGAGTTTCGCCCAGGTAGTCAATTCAAGTCGCCGCCAGCCAATGATAGTGCCTGTGATCTCGTCATACAGGGAAGCTGCTGAATATTCTCTGCTGGCCACCAACTGCCATTCATATACAAGGCCGTGAAGCTTTTCAACCTTAGTAAGGAATTTAGCAACAGGTTCAGTGTGCTTAAACTGGAGAATTTCTCTGCAGCATTGAATAACGTCTGCGAGAACTGCGTGGTCGGGCCAGGATTTCTGGATTTGAGCAAACCGAGCTTTCGTCGACAGAGTCAGGTCAACAAGCTTCTTAGCTTCGACCATATTCGAATCCACGTAAAAGTTGTAATTCTTTCCTGAGGTGACTTCGCCTGATTTCAGAGCATCCTCAAGCAGCAGCAGAACGCCGGAAAGTTGCTCCTTAGGTTGACCATCAACGGTCAATGAGCCGTTGTCCGACCGTAAGGAGCCCAGCAACAGAGATGATTGCTTGACATAGGCCGACAAGACTTCGGCTTGATTTTCGGAGTTGAAGAGCTTAGCGTGCAAAGATGCAAGTCGGACGGAAATTGCTTTGGGGTCGACACGGCTTGACACCTTTCCTTCTTCATCTGCATTCTCGTCGTACGTTGGGAATAGTTGACGCAGCTCGTTCTCGTCGACTTCCTCTGCATCCTCCCAAGATCCCTTGTAATGATACAGTTCGTTCTTACGGGCTTCTTCCTCTTGATCCTCCCGCAACTTAACTTTCCAGAGAGCATGGAACTGTTCGAACAAACGACGAAGAGTGTCGCGTCCGCTCCGAGTGGAGATCAGCCCCTTGTCCGCGTTCTCAGCCACTCTGAGCGCTGATAATTCGTGGAACCACAGATCAGTGTTCAGACTAGATTCGAAGTGAGACTCCTTGTGGATGCTACCAGAAATGGGGTGCACGAGGCCACCAAGGAACGGAGTAGTCTCCCTAATGGCTTTGATGATTTGCACATCACTGGACTGGCGAGACTTGATCGAGGAAAGGAACAGACCCAAGTCAAGAAGTTGTAGGAACCGAACGACTAGAGTCGTGATATCGTCGTAGGAGCGGTAGTTCATCGTAAGGCGTCTACTGAGCTGGCGAATGTTTTCACGAAGAAGATCAACCATCCGCTGTGACTCCGCATCGCTATCGTCTCCCGCAAAGTTGATGTTCTCCGGGTGGCGCTCAAGGACTGATCTCACAAGACTTGAGAACTCACCATGAAGGATATTGAGTTCGGAGGTCTGCGGTCTGGTGACAGAAGAAGGTGGGGGTGCCGAACCGAGGTTACGCAGTTCTCCCTGTATAATTTCCTGCCGCAAATTGGACACTTGGCCAGAGAAGCCAACCTCAAATGACGAGATAGCTTTGCCTCTTGCCGTTAGCTCTATCGAGCGCTGGGCATGCCTCTTCCTCTGAACAACCAGGCCCAACGAGGGATCAAATGGCTTATCTGGAACAAAAAGCTGCAAGAGAATGACAGCTAACTGAACAATACCGGCGCCTGTGCTATCCATCTGTTCCGTCATCAAGGACGACAATAGGCGCGGAAGCTGGCTTTGAGCGAAGCTCTTGAAGAAGTGGTTGTCTGGCAGGTTTGAGGCTAAGTTAATGCTCGGCAGCGAGAAGCCCTTGTGTGATCCTTGAGATTCGACACCTTGGAGGAAAGAAACAACCTGCTCCAGAGATTGCGGCTCGAAGAAATCTTTGTGAAGGATGACAAGCTCCGCAGTCAACCTTGCCATTGCTTGTCGAAGAAACGTGACCTGATTAATGGCAAGCTCGCCACTCGTAAGGGTCAAAGCCTTGGAAAGTGTTTTCTTCTCCATCTCCAAAGCATTCATCTGACCCAGGCTTGTGGTTCCAACGTAGACCAGTCTTTCTAACAGCGACAGAGACAAAGTTCCACTGACTGCAGCGCCGAAAGCCGACGAAGGTTCACTTCCCGCGTATAAAGAGAGCCTGTTCAGGATGACAGGGATTTGAGTCTTCAAGCTTGAAGCATCAAGGGGCTTGGCGGGACGTCCAGCAAGTAGCGGCAGGATTGATTGCACGACTTGGTCTTCAACTATCTGGCCGTTACGTAGAGAGGAAAGGTCGTGGTATTGACATAGCACCTCGAATTCAGTAGAGAAGTAGGGCTTTTGCAATGCATCCGCATCTGGCACGCAAGCTGCGAGGTCAACGACTGTTTGTCGTAGGTCCTGATATATGTTAGCAATGAAGAGCATGATATATAATCACAGAAGTGCTTACCTGGATTGGGTATCCCTCGTGACCGCTTGAAAGAATGGCTTCCTGAGCTGCAATCAAAGACTTGCGGACCTGGCTCAATTGAGACAAATCAAGATGTGTCTTGGTAGCAACTTGGGTAAATTCAAGGGCAATATTCTCCAACTCCAGAAGAGCCTTCAGTTGATCCTGTGTGGCAGAAGTAGCTGGCCTCCAGGACTCCCAGAGTCTCTGCATGCTCAAGCCTGTGGTCAATGCCCAGTTCTCATGGAAGCGATCAAGAGCTTGGGAGAATGCCAGAGCCAGTGGTTTCAAAGGGGCCCACCCATCAAGCAACGCGGCAGACAACTCTCTTCCGAGCTGAAGGTAAATCTGGAACTCGCCCTGGTCCACCTCGGTTGCGGTAGTCAAATTGTAAATGTCGGAGCAAAAATTGATCATTGCACGAAGTGCAGGAACCACTTCGAAAACTTGAAACACGGTTTGATCTAAGCTCTGGATAAAATCGTAGACAGCCTGGCCGCAGTCGGACAAAAAGGCTCCCACTGGCTGAGTTGCATCTTTCATCAAGGAAGGGATGCGGCCAGAGGCGAGAGAGCGTTCCAAGCTGGTCATTTGGCTTGGCTTGAGATGCTTTCCTGATTCGTTAGCCCGCAATAAACCCTGCTTCAGGTCCTGCAAGCCGAGCTTAGACTCCTGGAGTTGTGCCAGGACCATGAGCCAGCCAAGAGGGACACTTTGATGCATTACCGATGCAAGAGGTTCGTTCACGAGAGGATGAAGGGGTTGATAAATGCCCTGCGTAGCGACCGAGGCAAAACCAACTGCGAAGTCCGCTTTGATGCAGTCGAAAGGTCTGCAAGACGAATTGTCATGTATGACGGAAAGGTATCGCTGCAGGGCCGCCAGAAGTGGATCATCCGCATTGACAGAGGAATAGAACGGGAGGAGCCCCTGTACGCGCTGAAGATATGAGAGGTCCGCGATCGAGAGATGATCCAAGCACGCTTCATGTAGTAGAGAAACCGACTCATCGGCTTCGAAAGCCGTGGTAACGTCCAGATTCCACAGGGACCGAAGACGGTACAGTGAGGATTGGCAGGTGTAAGCAGGCACAGTGGAGATAGCGAAGCTCAAATCTTCCTGGGGCAAGAATGAGATCTCGACACAGCGATTCCGCATCGCCCGAGACAGCTCGCCGTGGCGAGGGTCCATAGTCAAGAAGAGCCTGAAGTTGGGGTGCGGCTTTATAATGCGAGCATTTCCATCCTCTGTACGTTGTTCGTTCAGGATCAGAGTTCCGTTAGGTTCCGTCAAAGAGTTCAATCTGTCAAGGACGGACGGGTTACAAAGATTCGCATTGTCAAGAACAACCCACTGTCCATTCTGAACTGCCTGTGTTAAGACACCCTCTGTCCACTCAAAACCGACTTTCATTTTGTCCATCTTGTCAGAGATGTCTGATAGACGCTGAGCCCGGTTGGCATATTCTTGGAGAAGAGGTTGGGGGTGGGATTCATACAGCTTCACAAGCGAAGCAACCACACCGTCAAGCGACACATCCGGGCTCTGTAGACTCTCATAGAGTTGAAGAGGAATAGACGAAAGGTCCGCAATGTCTCTCGCGGCATACGCGGAAATTATCTGTCGCTGAAGATACTGCGCGATCTCCAGGAGCAAGGACGAGACTTCCCTCTTGTAATCGATTTGTTCGAACCCACCGACCAGATCCATGGTGTCTGTATCAGCGCTCAGTGCCAATTCAACCAAGCCGGCTCCGTTTAGCGCGGCGAGCTTCCTGATGAGGGTTGTCTTGCCACAACCAGATGAACCCACCAAAATGCTCGGCCAGGATTGTTCGACACACAGCATTAGTGATTCGAGGACCGACAAGTCCCCTGGGAGAATCTGCATTTGGGGATCCGAGGTCTGTTGTAGAACTGAATCTCGCCGCATAAAGCCAAGTCCAACCTGCATGTAGCCTGGTGTCAGGTTATGGTAATAGCTTTTCGGGGCCGTGAGAGAATCTCCAAAGACCTGCCCAAACAACCGAGACACCACGCTGCGGTCTTCCTCACTTCTGAACCGCTGAGAGATAATAATGTCCAGGAAATGGACGGCAGGCACTTGCAGGTTCCCTCGATCAGCCAACTGAAGCCACCTCTGGATGTCTCGCAGGTTAACCTCCCAGGGGCCACCCAGCGCGCCTAGCCTTCGCTCTTGAATAGCTTTGTTAAGCAGGGAGATGAACTCGACGAGGTTGTCGGTCTGGGTGGCGGGACTTCCAGGGAATAGCTTGGCACAGATTCGCCTCAAATCAGTGTCGGTAAAGCTATCGGCATATACCACAGTAAATCTGTTGACAAAGGACGCCGGAAGACCTTTCCGGCCACCACCCTGATGATGCGGGTTCTGCGCAGCGAAGAGGACAAAGTCGGGGTGTCTCTTGAATGTTTGATCAAGTTCGGCAACATACACCATCTGACGGTGGTCCAAGCAAGCATTCAACCCTTCAAGAACAGATTGTGAAGCCAGGTTCATCTCGTCGAGAAGAACCCAATCACCACGTTGCATTGCTTGCAGGAATGGTGCATCACGCCAAGCGAACTGCCCAACATCGCCTCCTTCCACCGGCACATCAGAACCAAATAGGTCCGTCAGATCCGTTTGCTCAGAAAGATTGATTCGAGTGAGCGGTTTTCCGAGAGCCTTGGCAAGCGCCGTGACTAGCGTCGTCTTTCCAACACCCGGGCTGCCCTCCAGAAGGATAGGCTTTGGAAGCTGCAATCCTCGAGCAATTCTTACTGAGTTGCCGATAGTAGTAGGAGCATCCATGATGAACTCGGGATCGGGTCTTCCTTGTTCATTGATGGGAAGATTGAAAGGTCCGACACGAAGGGAGGTGCCATCAGTGTCAATAATTGACTTCTGCAAGTAAATGTTGGAAGCATCAACATTGAAAAGTTCTTGCAGCTTGTCTAGACACAACCGACGATTGCCTTCAAGGTCATTCAAAGCTGTCGCAAGGATTGCTGCAGGATTAGCGCCCAAGGTGTCAACAAACACCATTGCGGCACCTTGCACCACCGCGAACATGGGATCAGAGCTCTGACACCTGTTGACGAACTCGACCCAGCCAAGAAGGTCACGAATGGAAAGCGAGGATGTTGTGGAGTTTTGGAATGTCATCTTGAACCACTTGGCGAACTGCAGCATCGCTTTAGGCACGTGCTCCGATTCTAGCTGAAGCTTCATCCGAAGGATCGGCAGAATGTCCTCGTCTTCAGAAAGTTGAGGAGCCCATATTTCCGTCATACGGTTGCGAAGAGCGGCAGAAAGCTCGCGCTTTCCATAATCACCTCCAGGATTCATAGTAGACAAAAACTGGAAGCCCTCATGAGCAACCACCATGGAGTCAATCGGACCCTTTTCGGCAAGAAGAATAGAGCGATGAGGCTCCAGAACACTGTTCAACCTCTCCAAAACGGAATCGTCGGCAAGTGAGATCTCATCAAGAAGGAAGAACTGGCCCGTCTTCATAGCCGTGATCAAACTTCCATCAGACCATTCAAACAAGGCGTTCAGCCGAGCGAGATTCTTTTCAACTCGAAGTCTCAACTCAGGATCAAGCGCTTGTAGTTGCTCTGCGCTGATAGCACCAAAAGCCTGTTTCAAATCATCAACAGACACTGACTGATCATCCTGCGAGAACATAGTTCGTAGGTCACTATGTAGCTGGCTTTCGATCGCCGCCCTGTTCCTAACGGGTCTTTGAGCACCAATAAGGTCGCCTGTTTCCAAGTTCACATGTGCGTTGATAATATACAGTTGTTTTCTGCAAATCTCGGCAACTGCTTGGCACAGCTGAGTCTTACCACATCCAGTCTCACCTACAAGCAGAATAGGCTCGTTATTCTCGAGGGCGGTGGAGACAAGAACGAACAATCGGCGCATCGCCTTGGTCCACACAATTCCTGGAGCTAGCTGTGCAAGATTAGGAGCGCGCTTGTCCATTTCCGAGGCGCCATAGATGACATCCTCGTCAATCCGGACTCTCATGACTTCCTCGATCACGCTCTTGACTGCAGCCCTCTCCTGAGGATTGCGCACTCGCTCTGCCAGCAGCATGAAACCATTGATCGCCAATTGCTCCCGATCATCAGCACGACGAAGCGCCCATCTGAAAAGATCACGCAGGGTTGCAAAACTGTTTTTCTGTTCGAATAGTCGGTTGGCCTGGCGCAATAAGGAGAGTTTGCGGTAAACCGACACTATCCGAGTACAGAACGAAGGAGCAATCTGTGAGCGCTCCTTCAAGATATATTCCAGTTCGCTTTCGGGAATGTCGTCGAAATGAAGCTCCAAAAATCTGTTCCGGAAGGCGCGAGATAACACCTTTCGACCACCGTAGAGACCGGCGGGGTTCTGTGTGGCAAACAACATGAAGTTGGGATGCGGACGCACCACTTCTTGAGTCTCTGGGATGAAGAGCTCACGATTATCATCCAACAGTCGATTCAATGCTTCGAGGACATCGGAAGGTGCCAGGTTCAATTCGTCGAGAACAATCCAGTAACCGTTTCTGAGAGCCTCTACCAAAACACCTTCTTGGTAGCGGAGGGTGCCATCGTCGCTGGAGACGTAAGTTCCCAAATACTCTTGAAGATCAGTATGCTCGTGATTGTTGATGCGGACGAACTGGTTCCCCGAGACCTTGGCAAGGAACTCAATCATACTAGTCTTACCAGCAGAGGTCGGACCTTGCAGCAAAACGGGGAAGCGGCGCGTGGAGCTTGCTCGAACTAGATTTTTCAGGTTCTTCTCGATAAAAGGTGTGATGATATAGTGAGGTTGTTCTTCGGGTTTCAGATGACCACGACGCATCCAGTAATGTTTGAATTGCACGTAGTCATTGCCGTCGTTTGGTGGCTTGGGTGTCTGGCCCAGGAGTGCTCTGGAGTTCTTAACGTTGCTGAAGATATGCTTCTCGAGCAAAGGTGCTAACAAACGCTCCGACTCTTGACTGAGGACGGTCAGGAAACTCATAGAGAACCCCTCGTAGATTGCTCTGCGCAAGCCGTAGATATGTGCATGATCGGCTACGTAGACGAGCGCTCTGACAAGGGTTCTGATGCTGAAGTGTGGACGCTGCCCAGCACCGTCAGTGAGCTTGTTCTCGGTATTGAGCCTCTTAGCTTCCATGTAGAGCTGTCCAAGATCCGGGACTGCTCTGGCATCAGTCAACGCCAAATCGCCGAGGTACTTCTGAATCAGAGAGAGCAGGTCATCTAGGTCGCTATCGGGTGACTGCACATAGAACTCCGTGAATCTTGATCGAAGACCAGGGGGAAGGTCCTTCTTGCCTGCATCAGTCGCAGGATTCATTGCGCCAAAGATACGGAAATCAGGGTGACCAAAGACGCGCTCCACATCACCCGCTTCGGAGAGCAAGACGGATGGTGAACCTTCGCTACCATGGTGGAGAAGACTGGCGATGTTCTCGAGAGTATCCGGTGAAGCAAGGTTGACCTCGTCAAGAAGAACCCACTCGCCGTTACGCAGCGCTCGGACAATCTTTCCTTGAACGAAGGCAAAGGCAAACTTCGCATCTCCTTGAGATACTTGCGACTCGAAATCATTGAGCTGCGCTGCGAATCTGTCCCATCTCTGCCGCAAAAGTTGGTATTTAGGTGAATCCAACTTTCTCTTCTTCGCGGGTTGTTCCTCAGCGCCTTGAGAGCCCTGGTCTGACTTGAACACTCCATCAGCCAATCGGACTGCTTCATGCCAAAGATGTACTAGGCGAGCCCAGTTCCCTGCAGTGACACTCTTGGCGACGGAATGAAGGAACTTTTGGTTCTTCTTTGCCGAGAACGTCAATTCGAAAAGAGAGACAAACTCATCATGCATCGGTACAGCCATTGTGCGAATGTTGACTGGCTTGAAGCCACCAAGCAAATCAGTGCTTTCACTCTGCTGGGACAAGTTGACCACCGTGAGCTTCTGTCGCATCAGCGTAGCAAGCTGTTGAATGACCGTGGTCTTGCCAATACCCGTCTCTCCCACGAGAAGGACAGGCTCGGCCATTTGCACAGAAGCGGCAACTTGCTCCATCAATCCCAAAGCAGCTCTCGTTGATGCAAAGCGAGACGAAGAGGCAGCAGCTTTCGTGAGAGATCCGGTTGGGACCTTAATCTTGCGACATGTTTCTCTGCCAAGAGTGAGGCTGTTGCCTTGATCGGAATAGGTAGGCGTTCTCTCATGCATACAGAAGCGTGCCCGCTGCGGTGAGATATGCATGGCTTCAGCAACAACCAAAGAAAGGGAATCCGCCAGGGTCTTTTCAGGGATATATTTTAGAAACACATCCACGACGTCAAGGAATATCTCATCCTCGGCACCCTCTGGCGTCGCTTCATAGCCAGTTTTCGCCCCCAGACGCTGAAGCCGCCTGTGCATTCGGCTACAGAGCTTGATCAGATCACGAAGACCAGGAGTACGTCCCTGGGAGCTCTTAATTGCCAGACTTCCATGGAAGGAGGCACAAAGCCTTTGATAGACATTCATGATAGTGGCGACCCGAGATTCCAGGAGAGGATATTTTTGCGTGATAACCTCTCGAATTTCGTCGATCGCGAGGGAGTCAATCTGGACGCGCTGCCACAACCTGCTTCCTAGGATATTGGTACTCGGGGCAATTTCTTCGCCTGCGATATTGTAAGAAGACTTCATGGTTGCAATTATCTTGAAGCCTTCTGCGCATTTGATTCTTTCCTTCCTGCTAGCTATGGTCAACTCTCCCCGCTCGATGATCGGAAGGATAAGGCCAATGACTTCGGAAGGCGCGCGATCTAAATCTTCGATCAGGATCCAACGGCCTTCTCTCGCCGCCTTGGTCAAAACACCAGGTTGCCAGGCGAAAGAGCCTGTAGCTGGTGAGGTCGAATACATCCCCAAAAGACTCTTTGCGTCGGTCTGTTCATTCAAGTGTAGCGTGACCATCGTCTCCGCCTGTCCCATGGTTGCGGCGACATCGTTGATTAATGTTGTTTTCCCCGAGTTCGGCAAACCAACCAGCAACATAGGTCTAGCAGATATTAGTGCTGTCGCGATTTTCCGCAGGTTTCCAACGGCGGTCGGCGTTTTCACAATCGAGGACGGTTGAGAAGAAGTATTAGTTTGTCGTGGAACCAACACTCCGCAGATTTCGGCGGTTCTGGAAGTGAAATATTCTCGGAGCTTCTCAATCTGCGAAAGAGTATCGGGAGTAGATCGGTTCGACCTGGCGAGCTGAACCTGCTTCTCCAGTGTGGTCCACCGACGTTCTTCCCACAAGCCAAGACACCGGTAGTCGATTGTGGTTCCCTCCCATTCGCCCTCCACGATATCGTCCGCAAAATGAGTTTTGATTAATTCCTCTAGGGCAGCATCCGCTGCACGCATGTATAGGGCGAAGCATCGTATGGAGAGGTATCTAACGGATCGGTCGGGGTGTTGGAATAGCGATTGGAGCTGAGAGGGCGATACAGCCTTCGAGAAGACTTCTGGGTCATAGGAAAGAAGCCTGAAGATCGCTAACAAGAGGCTTCGGATGGTGGCATCATTTATTTGTGAAAGAGTTAGCTCACCACACGCAGCCAAAGCCGATAGAGGTCCAGCCCGAGCAATGGCATATTGGCTTGCAAAAGGTCGGAGGTTTGGTGCGAACGGTAAGACTCTAGAAAATGCGGAAAGAATATCGATTTGATCTAGCTGAGAGTCGGATAAGAGCCACCGTGCTGCCAAATCCACAAAAATCGGTTCGTACAGGCAAAAGAAGCCTTCTGTGCATCCGGGCCTCAATGCGCCAACCGCAAGCGCATTCAGGTATTGGGTCCCAGAAGCTGTGTGAATGAGTTCCGCAATCTCATTCGGAAGCTTCGCAAATAAGCGGGACTCATCAAGAGTCCCCTCGTAGGCAGGTCTAGCGTCCATGCTGAGCCCTACCGCCAAAGGAACTCTGGTTATGGGATTCAAATAGAGAGGAGGAGGATACAAACTTCGTCTGATTGCAGCACCTTTTTTTTTTCTCGCGATCAGTTTCTGCCGCGGGATTTCCGCCTTAGCCCCACTCTGACGGCTCCCACCGCCCTCGCCCCAGCCACGGAGGTTGAGATCAGAAGTCCGACAATAGAAACACTTATCGGGAACTAATCGGAGCACGGATATCGCAGGGGAAATCGCCAACCTTGCGGCATGGCTCATTGCAATGCGAACTGATATCGCAACCACAATCTTATTACTCTATGAATCGCAATGTCTTTACCACATGCTGGGTCAGGTATAGGGGCTCAGGCATCTCCTTCGCAATCGTATAGCGATGATCCAAGCCCTCAGAGCGAACCGCCGAATAGCGACACCTACCCACGGAGCTCCCGTGCTTCTTTAAGCGGAGGCTTACGCGAACCGTAAGTCCTAGAGAATGTGCTCTCCGTTCATGTGAGCTAACTTTACTACCACGTAGAATATCATTCAAACGAAAACAGAAACAGCGATCCAGGTTTAGCCTTTCGCGCCTTTTTCCTGGAGAAGCAACAAGAGAAGCCAGCTTCGGCTCTCCGCATAGCGACAGACAGCCCCCTAACGGCCACTCACTATCGTCGCGCGACGTATCTAACAGCAACGGAAACTTAAATCACAAGGATTCGGGCTTTCTGGATTGGTATGTGGAGGGACCCGGTAGACGGGTAGGATATGATGACCTTACGGCGATCGATTGGATTTTTGAATACACAAAAGAGCGACAAAGAAAACGACTACTTTATGCAAATGGGCAGGGACTTGTTGGATATGCGCGCAAAATACTAGATGCAAGCAATGTTTGGATTGTATTGATTGCGACGGGAATTCTGGTCGGCATCATCGCCGCCTGCATCGATGTTTCAAGTGACTGGCTAGCAGATCTCAAAACTGGCTACTGTAGGAACGGGGCAGGAGGAGGCAGGTTCTATCTGAATCGGAGCTTCTGCTGCTGGGGACATGATGGTGAGTCGATTCCACTTGGTAGAGGCTCAGATCAACCATATTGACATGGCTTGCTGGCTAGACATCAATAATTGTTTGGATTGGACGCCTTGGAGAAAGGCCCTAGGAGTTACTTCACGCGGTGGCGGCTATGCAGTTGAATATGTTTTCTACATTCTTTACTCTGTACTGACCCCTGTTGCTGGACATTACTGTGAGACGCTAATGCAAGCTACAGGTGTTCTTCGCCGTCTGCGCATGTGTCCTGGTCAGGACATACGCCATATATGCGAAGCATAGTGGTATTCCCGAGATCAAGACCGTGCTTGGTGGTTTTGTCATTAGACATTTCATGGGGCCTTGGACCCTTGCTATCAAATCCCTGGGTCTGGTAGGTATATACAAAAACTACAACCTAGAATTTTGGCTGATTCAGAGCAGTGCTTGGCTGTCGCGTCTGGTATGTGGCTTGGCAAAGAGGGGCCTCTTGTTCATGTCGCTTGCTGCTGTGCGAGTTTGATAATGAAGCCATTCCATAGTCTCAATCACAACGAAGGTACTTACACCATGAGACAATCAAGCAATATATGCTAATCGTGCAGCGAGGAAACGAGAGGTCCTTTCTGCTGCCGCCGCAGCCGGAATTTCTGTGGCCTTCGGAGCGCCCATCGGAGGCGTTTTGTTTAGCTTGGAGGTGGGTTACCAAGTCCTTGGTGATGAGCCGGGCTAACTTTGACTGGATAGCAACTAAGCTATTACTTTCCCGACAAGACTATGTGGCAGAGTTTTGTATGTGCCATGGTTGCCTCTGTGACCTTGCATGCGCTCGACCCGTTCCGCACCGGCAATATAGTTCTCTACCAAGTCAAGTACACGCATGGGTGGCATCGCTTTGAAATTATCCCATTCGTCATACTTGGTATCGTCGGAGGTCTTTATGGAGCCTTTTTCATCCGACTGAACATGAAGGTTGCCAATTGGCGCCGTTCACTAAGTGTCCCCCGACCGATTCTGGAGGTGTCAGCCGTAGCTCTTCTGAGCTCATTGATTAACTTTCCGAATCTTTTCATGAAAGCTCAAAACTCGGAGCTCGTGCATTCTCTATTTGCAGAATGTAGCACCGGAAGTGAAGATCCGTTCGGCTTCTGTAAGGTCGGTGCGGTATCGGCTAGTACAGTTGCTCTTCTGTTGGGAGCTGCCATCCTTGGCTTTTTCCTCGCATCAATTACCTTTGGATTGGACATCCCTGCTGGTATAATCCTTCCCTCGATTGCCATTGGCGCCCTCTATGGACGAGCTCTCGGCATCGTCTTCCGGATGTGGCAGCAAGCCTTCCCTAAGTTCTTCCTGTTTGGCAGTTGCGAGCCGGATGTACAATGCGTGACTCCAGGGATATATGCTATCATCGGAGCAGCTTCAGCCCTCGGCGGTGCCACTAGAATGACCGTGTCGATTGTGGTTATCATGTTTGAACTTACAGGTGCTCTGACCTACGTCATTCCCATCATGATTGCAGTCATGCTGTCTAAATGGTGTGGTGATATTTTCGGGAAGCGTGGTATCTACGAGTCGTGGATCCAACTCAAGGAGTACCCGTTCCTCGACCATCGCGATGACACCGCCCCACCCGATGTCTCTGCTCAAAAAGTAATGACTTCTATTGATGACCTTACAGTTATCACTGCCGTCGGGCATACGATCGACACCCTCCGCAATCTTCTCCTGACCACGTCCTACCGTGGATATCCGGTTGTTATAGACATGTCGAATCCTGTCCTTCTGGGCTATATCTCACGCAACGAGCTTTCCTACGCGCTGAAGTATGCGGCGTCCCCTTCCGAAAATGAATTATCCAGCACAGCGCAGGTGTTCTTTACGCACCAACCATTCGCAGACCCAAGCGAGACCCTGGACCTGAGGCCTTGGATGGACCAAACGCCGATTACGCTCAACAGCAACACCACCTTTCTCATTGTTCTACGAATGTTCCAGAGACTTGGTCTGCGCTACGTTCTGTTTGCCGACAAGGGTGTCCTGCAGGGCCTGCTCACCAAGAAGGATGTTTGGTCGATAGTCAGCGGGTCAGGCTCCCACAAGGACGAAACCCTACTCGAGCGAACCTTCACTCAACCAAGTGCCGCGGAGGAGGTTGGCTTGCTTGGTGATGATGACCGCACAAGTCTTGCCAGCTCCATCGAGCGACGGCAATCTCTGTAAAATGACGCAGGAAAACGTCGGACGCAATGATCTACCATGATATGTGACTTCGTCTTATGGAGGGAGCTGGGCTTACGTATCTATTTACTTTTTGAATACTTCTCTGCATATGATGCTGTAATCTTAGACTTTTCCATCATTGGTGTGGACCATTTGCCCTACTGCGGCTTAAGAGGCATTCACTAACTCCAGTGAACATGCTTAACCTCCAAGTCTCAAAAATCTATACACCAAATGCACCATGTTCCCCGTTATTACTAAGTACTTGGGTGATTCAAAAGTTTCTGTATCTTCACGGCCAGATTGATCTCCAGTCACTTGTCAGCAACCTATTGAACTTCAAACGCGGATGATATATATAGTTCAGTAGAACCCAAGAGCGGTGTAAAAGCGGACAGCGAAGAGGGCGGCGGCAAGCGGCAGATGCTCCTAGGACACCGTCCCCGCTCACCGCGCGCGCGTTATCATTTAATCTGGCGGCCGAGCTTGATTTCGGATGCTCGATTCAAGAGCCGAGCCGCGCAACAACTCCCTTTCTTCCATCTTCAGCCCTCAATAAATACCGCCCCGCCAGAGGTATCTGGGCCCCTCACCTATCCGCAACCATGATGGTCGATCCCTTCGAAGTGCGGATGCGCTTCACGGCGCAGTTGCAACACCTCAATGCCTCGGTCACATCATCCCAGAAAGCGGCGCACTATGCGCTGAAGTACCGCGACATGGACGAGGATCTCCACTCGTGCATTCTCGAACAATTAGAGCGAGTACGTGAGCCCCCTTTCCTCCTTCGTTTCTTCTTTGTTCTACATATCGACTAACTTACTCGCAAATAATCTAGAACAACATGAACAACCGAGCCAACATCATGTACTTCGTCGAGCATTTCTGCGAGATGGCCACGCGGGAAGACCACGCGCCCTACGTCCGCATGATCCAGCGCGATATTATTCGGATCGTCGACGCCGTCGCGCCGCCCGACGGCTCCGGGGCCGCGAACGTCAAGCACGTCCGCCGGGTCCTGAACGGGCTGCAGACCAAGGAGATCCTCTCGGCGGCGACGGTGGCGGAGATCGACGCCTTCCTGAAGGAGCGCGAGACGCACCCGGCTCACCTGGATCTGGAGGGGGAGGAAGACGAAGAAGGCGCGGGGGGCGGCGATGCGGCGACGGGGGCGGCGGTGACGGCGCGGGCCAAGGGTGCGACGCCGCGGGGCTCGCGCGGGAGGGTGGACAAGCGGCAGATCGAGCAGCGCATCGAGGAGGACCGCGAGCGCAACAAGCGGCTCCGGGAGAGTATGTGGACGGTCAGCGGGGATGACGGCGATGAGCATGGCAGGTTCTGGGATGAGGCGAGTGAGATCGGGGAGGATGACTTTCTGGCCGCCAAGGAGGAGCTGATGGAGCGGAAGCAGATGGTGGGTGCTCGGTGAAGGGTTGCCAGCTTCATTATCTTTGTGGTTCTTCATTGCGGGGTGATTTGCTGGAGTCTTGGGTGGAAAGGGAGTTTTGAGGAGTTTCTGATGCTTACTACTACTGATACTATACACAGCATGGTTTGGCGTTCTTCAATGGTGTGCATGTTCAGTGGAAATATCTTACGAGTTTCACAGCTCATCCATTGCACTATTTACAGTCGTCCAGGATACCCGAAAAGTAAATACTATATCATCTTCAAACGAAAATTGACCTTCATGAAACAACTAGAAATACTTGATCTATGCGCTAGTTCCTGCTGTATATTTAATAACCTTGCTTATACTCGCTGATATACTCGCTCGTATGAGTACACAAGAACACGGGACCCACAATTAGCATCCAGTCTCGATCCACTTTTCACCACCCGGATAAACCATATCGCCGCAACAATTTTCGATCAGTGCCTTCTTTACGCTCTCCGAAAAGAGGGTTTACGCAACGCGCAATAACATTTCTCCATGCAAAACAACTGGGAAGAGATCCGGGGGGGGAAATAATTTTTTTTTTCTTGGACGCTCTACCTTTAAATGTTTGCGCAGTTCATGACCGCGGCAAAGGGGCTATTTCACCGATCGACGGAATCCTCCAACGGAAAAAGCACACTTCCCCAAAAACTCGCCTGGGACAGCGTCGTTACTAGCGCCGCCGTCAATACACCGAAGAAGAAGATGGTCACAGCCACTAGACGGCGGAAATTTACCGCCGCGTCGTCCGCGGAGCCTGAAGTCAATGGAAATGCAAAAACGACGATCAACGGGAAGCGCAAGTCCGACTCCAACACCACCACCACCTCCTCCTCCAAGATGCAGAATAGCAGCAAACGGCGAAAGCGGGGCACCAGTCTAGAGGACGTGCGGGAATCTGAGGACGACGAGATGGCTACCGCCACAATGACGACAACGACTACTGCTAGCAATAAGAAGGCGAAGACGGTGGAGGAGGAGAAGGATAGTGATAGTGAGGTCCAGGAGGAGACACCAGTTGCTGCTGCGGCTGCTGCTCCCCCGGCTATCAAGAAGAAACATTTCCGATTCGATAGCGAAGAGCCAGAAGTGCCCGAGATGGAGGAGGAGGAGGAGACTGCGGAGACGCCGCAGGGCTTGGATGCGGACGAGGAGGAAGATAGCAGTGACGATGAGGCTCCCGAGGCCGTTGATAACTCCGCGCAACTGTCCAAGATCCGGATAGAGGCGAAGAGACAGGAGAGGGCTAAGCAAATGTTCGTATCTCCTTTCACGTGTCCTCGACTGCACATGAAACGCACTACTAACTACGGCACAGAGAAGAGCAATTGAAACGAGACAAGAGGAAACAACTCGACGATCTACGCAAGCTCCAGGCGAAGTCGGCCAGCAAGAAACGAGAGGCTGAGGATCAGCTCTCCGAAAGCACCGAGACCCTTCAGGGTACCACGACAGAAAGTGCCCGGAGGTCTGCGCTCCCCGCTCTGCTCCCGGACGATATCCTGAATGCCGCCCCCGACGTTCGGCCCCCGACCCCTCCCGCAGAAGAAATGGAGATTGTGCGACCCAAGCCCACCAAGATGAGGTTCCTGGACAAGAAGGAGAAGGCCCCGAAGGATTTGCAGATGGGCGACGTCACGATCCGTGTATTGGATGGAGATGTATCACGGAAGAAGTCGAAGACTGCACTCCCCCCCAAGTCCTCGAAGAGCAGTCAGAACGCGAGACAAGCCTGGCTGAGTGCAGCTCGCAGTACGGCTAAGGTCAACGGGATGAGAAGAACGGCTGGAGGTTCCTCGGGGTTTGTGCGCAAATAGCAGGTCTTTGGCGCGCTGAACTCCGTCTCGTAGTAGGGATTTTTAATGAAATCAAAAGTATATCCTGTATTTATTTCCTGTCTACATGCTGGCTTCAGTTCGGGTCTCCAGCGATGACTTTCGGGCGCTTTATGTTTCTTAGCAGAGTCCATCTTGAGTTCGAGGCTTTCGGATCTTCATGCAAGTCAGAGTCTACGGAGGGTTTCGAGCTTTCGAGTTCTCTAACGCGGAAGTCTGCCACATGAGAAATGCTCAATTAACCACGATATGCGCAGCCCCGATCTGCAGCTCAAGCTCGATGAAGCTGCCCGAACCCCACCTCGTAATGTATGCTTTCTTTTCTTTTCTTTTTTATTTTTTTATTTTTTTGCTTCAATGCAAACTATAATTGCTTTTGATAAGACGCGAGCATATTACCGTTGACTGCAGACCTCCACTTGCTAGTCTTTTCACTCAATGAATAGGCAGGATTGCGTTGGCGACATGAATTGTCGATGGGGAAGAAATGGCAGCGTTGGGCGGGCGCACGTGCGGAGCAGGAGGAAGGAAAGGCAAAGAAAGGAAAGGAGGAGGAGGAGGAAGCTCGGGCTTAGTCGTTGGACTGTTGGAGCTACTCTTGGATCTGCCATCCCATCCCGTCCTCAAACTTCATTTTCTCTTTTCTTTCCTTTCCCTTCACCACGGCCTCCCCACCATCCTCGGTGACGTGCCTGCCCCCCGATTGTTGCTCAATTTAAACAGAATCTGCTCTGTGCAGCATTCTGAATTCCCCTTTCAGTCACCCACCATGGTTTCCATCACAGAATCTTCTCCCCTCCTCCCCCAACATCAGCCGCCTTCCTCCACTAATACGTCACCGCGAGGAAACCGAGCCTCTCGGACGGTGACATTCAACCCATTGGCCACTGTCAGCACATATCACGACACTACCGCCGCAGACCCGACCTTTAGACCGCTTCATTCCGGTTCTTACCCTGCATCCAATTCTCAGAACGCTGGCCCACCCCGACCGACCGGCTTGTCCGCCTTAAATAGCAAGCTCCGCCGCCGCAATAGCCATGGAGCACCTTACAGCACCGCCGGTGCCCCATTCGCGACAGCCCCCAAGGTCGGACCGCAGCGAACGACGAAGAACGCACAGAAGCTTAAATTACTGCCCGATCCCGTGACCGAAGAAGAACTTGCCGACGGCGACTTTCCGTCCGATGTCTACTCGCAAATCGCCCGCATCAAAGAACCGACCGCCCGCAGTCACGCTGCAAGTCTGGGAAAGGCGGATCGAGAGCGATTGCCCCGCGTTACAGCCTACTGTACCGCCAATTCGTATCGTTTGGAGGGGGTGGTGCGGTTTCTCAAGTCCCGCGCAAAGACCCGCGGAGCCAACCCGAAGCTCTACGATGAGTGCGTATACTCGCCGTATGACTACGACTACGAAGCAAAGCAGCGAGGCACATGGAATCTTCCGAGCAACGGGCTACATTCACCGCAATCCCAACCGCCGATACGTCCTGCTGGAGAACGCCGGTACTCGGACAGTGTTGTGGAAGTGCAAGACAACACCAACGCCCGCCGGGAAGATCTCATCGACCTGAGGGATTCGGAGTCGCACCGTCAACAAGATGACCACGAAAGCGCCGTGGTCGATTCCACCGCATCGGCATCCCAAATAGAAGCAGCTCCTGATTTCGACACCAAGGTCCACACCCCGGAGGTGTTCCTCTTCGACTACGGCACTGTGGTCATCTGGGGCATGTCCCCCGCGCACGAGTCACGATTCTTATCCGATATCTCCAAATTCGCTACTTCCATTCTCAGTCCCGAAGACACGCAGGTCGAGAACTTCAACTTCTATTATGCGCGCGAATACCAAGCTCGGATCTACAACGATTTCATCTCCCTCCGTGACCCGCGGAATTACATGATCAAGCTCGCCATCTCCCATGCTCTCGCCCAGTCCGTCAAGACATCCCTGTTCGAAGATCTCGTCTCCGAGACCATCTCCAACACCGCACCACTCCCGGCCCAGATCGCCCAGACCGGCAGTGTGAATCTCACCCGGCGCCAGATCAATATGCAGGTCGGAGAGCTCTTCATCTTGCGAATCAACATCCATCTTCAAGGCTCCGTCCTCGACAGTCCGGAACTGATGTGGGCAGAGCCCCAATTGGAGCCTGTGTACCAGGCTGTGCGGAGTTACCTCGAGATGGACCAGCGAGTGAGTCTCTTGACGGAGCGGTTAGACGTCATTGCGGATCTGCTTGCCGTCCTGAAGGATCAATTAACTCACCGCCATGGTGAGTACCTCGAATGGATCGGTACGTCTCCCTCTCTTGTTTCTTTGGTTGTACACCTTCCTAACCCAATCCCTTTCTCCAGTTATCGTTCTCATCGCCGCCGAAATTCTTGTCGCGGCCATTAATATTCTAGTCGATCTCTACGCCGGCGTGGAATAAAGCGTGTCTTTTTTTCTTCTTCTCGGTTTTCCTACGGCGTCAGGCACAGGGATTTCTTTTCTCTTCGGGGAGATTTATATTCTTCAATGTTTCAACAATCAAGAGAAATTCTCTTCTTGCTTCGCTCTCATCTCATTGAAATCCTAAGGGACTTCGTGATCTGCATTTTTACCCGTTCCAGGCGGAGTTCTTTCTTTTTTTTACGTTTTGCTTCAGGCGCTATAGGGGTTTCGAAGAGGGCGGAATGCAATGGGAACATGTGTTGTAATATGGATTTCTTCGAGCTGTTCGAGCTTTTCGCCGAAGGGAGGGAGTCAGTCAAAGCTCTTGCATCATATCGGAAATATGTTTTCTATGCATAGCCCGGGCCTTTAACCAGCGTTCTTTGCTTTAGTTGTGTCTTGCGGAAAACAAAGTGAATTAACCTTGTTGTCTGCTTTATGTTGGTGACTGTACTGTATGTTGTTTGTTGTTCTTGTAGGGATGGGATGGGTTCACTGTTGGAGGTGATGTTGTGCCCAGACTCAGCTCCAGGCTGTAATGTGTGCCTTCCTAGTTCGGTAGGTATATAGAACAGCCGGAAGGCCTCTCGCCGGTGGGCATCAGGTATAGTGTAGTGCAGTGGATCCGAAGTTATTCCAAGCGGAGTCAAATCTCGCCAGCTGCCCGAGTACAAACGTAGTCCCCTTTCTACCTTCATATTATTTTCGCAGAACAAAGTAATTTCCATGGGGGATCTCCTCTCTATGCCCGAATCCAATCTAAGACAAGACGGTTGCTTCATGTGCACGCGTTGAATTTTCCAGCCCCGCTTCTCAAAATTATGGCACACGCCCTGACACCAAAGGAGATAAGGATGCATTCCCGAGTGGAAGAAAGAGGATTACATTTCCAGGCAAGAAGAGAAAGAGGTAAGTAGGTCGATAAATAAGGTAAGAGGTGAAGAAGCCGACACAGAAGGTAAAAAGAACAACCCAACACAGGAAAAGGAAATCATACAAAAGCTCCAGGTTCCCAAAGTCCAAAATCACAGGGTTTGCGCGCAAGTTTAAGACCCACAAAGAAAGGAAAAAGACAGCAATTTTCAAGTCACCAGTCAGAAGGAGATGAAGATATAAACCATATGAAAACGGTCTTCTGAGGCTTGTTTTGTGATTTGTGTCAGACCGGTTTTCGCCCGCTCCGTAGCCCTTTCTATACAATTAGAGAAAAGGGGGGAAGGGGCGAAGGAGGGAATCGAGACCCGAAAAGACAAGGAGAATTGTAAGAATGAATCTGAATTGAAGAAGAAGATAATGGCAAGTTGCTAGCATTACGCAGCTTGTCCCTAGCTCTCCTCCCTCGGTTCCTTGGCATCCACATCCATCGGCGTCGAGGAGGGTTCCACCGATGCATCACCAGCCTCGTTCTCATTCTCGTCTCCCTCAGCTGCGGCGTCGTCGTCGTCGTCGTCGTCGTCGTCGTCATCCGCCGCGGCGGCGGCAGCAGCAGCAGCAGCAGCAGCAGCAGCGTTGGAGGCTCGACGGGTTCTCGAGCCGGATTCCGGATTCTGACTCGTGCCGCGCTCATCAGATTCTGGGTGCTGGCCAGCCCCAAGCCGAAATGTGGAGCTCAGATCGTCCTGGGACGGGGCCGGGGCCAGCCGGGGCAGGCTGCCGTTGTTATCGGTGTTGTTGTCGCCGTTGTCGGCAGCGTTATTACTGGCGGTTCCGGCGGCGGCGGCGCTGCCTTCGTCGTCGGCGCCGACGCCGTCGGGGAGGTTGGATTTTCGGGATCGTTTCACGCGGAGAGGTCGTTCTTGGGGCTATTCAAGGGATTTCAGTGTCAATTGTCTTTGTCGGTCGACGCGCTGACATAGCATTGCGTCTTCTTTCCACGGGAGCCCGTTAGAATGAAGCCGCCGCTCTAGGAACAAGTAAAAAACAAGAAGGATAAAACTCACAGTCGGAGGCTGCTCATCTGAACTCCCCTCCGTCTCATCATCCAGATACGCGCCGCCGCCAGCGGCCCCATTCTTCCCCTCCGACGAGGTAGCTAGCCCATTCAACGCCGAGGCGTTGCTCATCAGCGCGACGGCGCGGGCCCGGAGCTCCGGGTTCGCGGCGGCCCCGGCCTGCGAGGACGCCTCCTCGGTCATGCCGGTGACCTTGGCCAGGCGCTCGAGCAAGATGCACGACTCCAGGCGCATTTTCTGGATGTACTGCCAGCCGCGCCGGTTGCGGATGCGCATCTGTTCGTTCTCTTCCTCGATCTCGTTGAGACGCTTCTTCAGGGCAAGGCATTTGCGCTTGTAGGCGTTCTCAACGCTGGGCGGGTTGGTGGTGGCCGCTGAGGGGCGGATTGTGGTGGATGTTGTGTCTTCCATGGTGAAGTGACTGGGAAGCGGCGGCTGGGAGGTGTTTCGGGAGGAGTGGATGAGAGAGGTTTAGTCGCGGGAGGTTATCTGGACGGAGGTGCTTTTGAAGGCTATATAGGACGGTGGAAGGCGGAGACCGGATAGACCAAAAATTCCGGTGGTCCTAGAATTGGGAAATCTAGCTGCTAGGAACGGTGTCGCTTCAGGCGAAGGTAGTCGTCACGAAGATTGGGAAAAGTCTGGTCAAGGGGCTCCGGAAGCCGCTGTATGTGTTCCTGGCAATGCGAATCAATCCAATGGCTTCGGTCTCTCTGCCCTGATGGCGCGAACGAAACAGTCAACGTATGATGCTGTTAATGGTGGGTCAATGGTATGGTAAGCAGAGAATTTTGTTGTACCATACAGAGCCGATCCGAGCGAGAGATTCCACGGAAAAAGAGATGGAACAGAGCTGGCAATGGCCGAGATTGAGAGCTGAGGACGAAGCGAAACGAAGAGGAAGTTGAGATCGCCGCGGTAATTCTGCCGGCCGACAGTCCAGAGCGGTCAGCGTTAATTAGCAGCTACTATCTACGGAGTACTATTTTTACTGTACTGTACTGTACTGTACATTCGTCCCTATCTCAGAAGCACTTCTTCATCATCTAACAAGATTCCATTATCCACCGAACTCCTAATGATGAAAATACAAACAAACAAACCAGCTCTTGTCATCAAAATACATTACGACCAACTCCATTAATGCCCACCGGTCGTCGGCAATCCACAGAACACCTTGAATGAATCATAACTGCATCCAGCGTCAGCCATTGAGCTCATCGGAAAAACAACAAAAGAGATACGCACATCAACCACTGGAATCCAGTCAAAGTACCGAGCATGACAATTCGGACCGGCAAGCCATTCCACAAGCCGGAGAATCCGATGTTGCTGTAGATGCGCGACACGGCCGTCATCGCGCCCTCACCAGCTATAGAATTATAGAACGTTAGCCCCGAGAATCAACAACGCTGCCCAACAACAGGGCCACGGTACCAGACAGGGAAAGAAAAAGAAAAAACAACGAGAGCTATACCTTTCCGATCCGCATTCAGCTTACTGACCATCACATCCGCGGGATGACTGACGATCGCACAGAAGATGCCCGCGATGTACCCGCCCAGGAAACTGACCCCGGTCTGCTGCAAGCCCGAGCACTGCTCCTTGGGCTTGCCGATCGTCTTGTAGAGCATGCTGACGGTCTCCTCGAAGGTGGCGAACTTGGTCATCGTGTAGGGGATCTGCCGCGCCCACAGCGGGTACAGGCCCTTGTACAGGCCGGCCATGCCCTCCTTGGCCGTGATCTTGCCCCAGCCCTCGCGCAGGCTGTGCGCGAACGGCGGCAGGGTGGTCTGCATGCGCACCTTGATCGCCTCCATTGGGCACAGCATCATGTCCGCGAAGAACTCGGCCGAGGCGCTCGCGCCCAGGTAGACGACGGTGCGGTTGGTGTTGGGGAAGAGCTGGTCGCCGTACAGGTACTTGAAGTACTCATAGAAGCCGTACTTGCCGGCGCCCTGCATCGAGTAGCCGAGCAAGGTCGGCGTCCAGCCGAAGAAGACCCCGCGCACGCCCTCCTTGGCTATGATCGAGCGCCATGCTGAGAGGTTGGAGGTGTAGATCTTCGGGTCAACCTGGCGGCGACATTTGACCAGGTCGAGCGGTGTCACTGCGGTGTGTGTTGGGCCTGTAGGAGTGGTTGTTGTGTTAAGCTGTGCTCTAGTCCAGAGTACTCCTAGCGAATACGGTCGGATTGAGATGGAATTACTCACCACAGGCTATAGATAAGGCGAACAAGTTAGCTTTCTATCGACTTCGATTGCGAGGATCAAACCGAGGACAGAGGAAACCTACCGATAATGCCTCCCAGCGTACAGCTGGCGAAGTACTTGGCCGAATTGGTCTCAATCTTCCCAAAGGGAAGTTTGCGTTCTTGCGTAGCCATTGACATGGTTGTGTGCGATTTATAAGAAAGGTGGGTGGGTGAGTGATCGAGTGAGCGTCAGAGTGAGTGTAACGTTCGTTTATCTACAAAAGCACCAAACCAAACTCCAGAGAGGGGAGGGGAGGGGAAAGAGAATCCAACAGCAATCGAAGAAGGGTATCAAATTTAGAGAACAATTCCTCCAGCTAAAGGGGAGGGAGGGGTAGCTGACTTATAAGCTCATGCGGGCCAGAATCGGCTCCTAAAGATAGGAGTGTGGAGGGTTGCATGTCGTCAGTGCAGCCAGCAGCCAGCAGCCATGAAGTCAGTCGAATCAGGCACTGGCTGACTGCTGTAACCAAATCGGTTAAACCGGCATGGTGACGGCTTATCCTGCACGCTGGAATCATCCGAGCAGCCGAACAGTAGTGGCTAGTCCTGAATTGGCATCGAATCAGATTGCCAGAATAAGTATGAAAGTCGTTCATAGCCCGTTCTTTTTCTGCTCTTCGTTGTTCATCAAATGCCTGCGTGGTTGCGGATCTATGGTCATGACGTCAGTCAGTACAGTTGAGATAACACAAAGTTATCCGTGGCTTGCCGGAATTGGAACGTCCCCTCGTCTACCTACTCCTACATACAGTATCTATTCTACTCAGTCTGAAAAGTTGTAGCATGCTCAACATATAACTGGATATAATCATTTATACACCTATATACATCGTAAGCTATATGTACACATCCAGCATCCACTCTCGCAGAAGAAGTATGCAAACTTCATCCTTCATACCCTAGTAGATCCGATTGGAAGGACGACCAACAAAGCGACCATCAATACCCGTCACGGACACTCCAGAGCAAGGCGCGGCTCATTACTCGGCGCCAAAGATCCAAGCATCAATGGCATCACACCCTGACCACCCTCAGCAAGCACAAGGGCCAGCTTGATCCCGACCTCGGAACCCTTTTCCGCCAGCGCCCGCCGGATCTGCTGGGCCTGGGCTGGTGTCGCATGCCCGCACGTCAAGATATACCACAGCGGCCAGATCATATGGTAGACGTTGAAAGCCCGAATCTGAGATGCCCCCTGCGAAGCCAACGGGTTGCCCAGCTGATCGATCGCCCCGAACGAGAACGGGATCGCACGGCACGTATCGCCGATTAAGCTTTGGATCAGCCGTGATCCCTCGGCTTCTTGTCGGACGGCTTCTCGCTGGATGCCGCTCGAACGCACAATCGAGGTCAACGTCTGGAGGAATTCGAGGATCGTCACCTGTAGCAATATGCGAAGGGCATGATAGTAGGACCAAATCGACGCCGAAAACTGCCCTTGGTAGGTCAGCACATCTTCGCCGGTATGCGACCGGCAAGCGTGGGGGAGCCAGCTTGTCGGCAGGCTTCGACTCCACTCTGCTAATTCGGAGTCCAGGGCCCTATAGATTTCGATCCTGGAGGCAAGAGTAGTGATGACTCCAGGATCGGTGGTGTCGGAAGTCAGGGGGTTCTCGAGGGACATTGGATCAAGCTCGTTCACCACCATTATCAGCCGTTGTAGAGGATCGGCAGGATCAAGACGCATGACAAGATCATGAGTACTGAACCGTGGCTTCTGCCGCAGAAGTAAAGCTTCAATGCGCTGCAAATCGTACAGTGGTCAGCATGGCCCCTCGAAGGCTGGAAGCCACCGGCTGTAAGGGTAGATGCACCGGGTGTCTGTAAGCCTACCGTGTGAACATATGCAAACTTAAACATATCTAGCCCCTGCTCGTTGAGTAGACTCTCGCCCCTCAGCTTCATGAGGGCTTCAAAGCCCACAGTGTGGGAGCTCGCAAGCCCGTTCCGCTCGCCTGAGATATCTTCGAAAAGTGCAAGAATGACCACGGCTGCAAAGGTATTGTCCTTTACCCTTTCGACCGGCGAGTCCAGCGCCCGACGCAGTCCCTGCACCGCCAGAGCAAGCCGGTGTCTCGCTTGTGTGACCAGCGAGGGCGCCTTGACCTGATTACCCAAGGTGAGCAAGGCTGCAGCATCAACCGCGAGACGCAGACACGAAGGCGCTGGCTCCACGGCGCCAGGCCCTTGACAGCCCGCATACAACCTCGGGATAAATCCCAGGTGACTGCCACCTTCAGGCTTGTCACAAGCCGTATATTGGTCAAAGAAAAAGCATACCGCCCGTTCCTCCCATGGCGACCCAGGGTTCCGATATATAGACAGAGAAGACATGCGTGGGTTATCATCAGTAGCCCTTTCTCGAACAACATGAGCGGGACAAGGCTTGTTGCCTTTCCTGCTTCCTTTTACTTGACCCGTCTCGATCTTGAAGATTGTGTCTGGTCGGTACCCCGGGCATGACTCTCCGTAGACAGCGCAGTTGCGGCATCCAGGATGTCCCTCGTCACACTAAGAGCTGCTTAGCTACAATCGCATCCAACCAGGTAGTGAATATAGAGAAGCCACCAAATAGCTTATACCACCAATACGAGTGGACACCGGGTGGATTTGCTGGCTGTCGTCCTACCTTTATCTTCCGTTTGCGACATAGATAGCAACCTGTACTAGGTTTGCCCCCGTATACCATAATCGACTAGTTTTGAGGGGCAGCGCCTATGTGAACAGCAGGGTACAACTAGCAGGCTTCATACGTCGAAAGTGCACGGATGTTGGAGAATTAAGGATCATCTAGCCATGCAGCCTGCAGTTTCAACTAGACTCATAGCCTATGCTTGTTGCGCAGACCGGAGACGTGTAAATAGCGCCAATGATAATGATGATGATGATGTTACGGAGGGGCCTTGGTGCTCAACGGATCCCTGCCTCTAACTAGAATGAGTCAGGTGACCACGTCAAATCCGGCAAATGGATCAAGTACTCTCGCAATTGAGACAATACCTTAAGACATTACAATCAGGATAGATCCCCAACACTGGCACTTAGGTCAAAATCTTTTGTAGATCTGAATACATCTTCCCAAGACAGGTATCGTCTAACCCTCGTATGAAACTAAACACACAAAGCACATATAAAAAGCATGGAACTCCGCTGGGGTTATTCCTCTCTGATACTCCAGCAGCACAAGAAAACCCCAACTGCCACTTGTTTAACTCCACACCACGTTCCCAGCGGGCTTGAAGAAGAGAAGAAAAAACGCAATTCAAACAAAATGTCCTACCCAACACCCAAAATGCATATATGGAAGAAGAACCAGGCACAATCGGCCCTGTTCCGAGATCGGTCATGCTGCCTACATTCCACTGGACCAATATCAAGGGACAGAGGCGAAGGCGCTTGAGACCGATTAGGATTGGAGGATAAGGCGGCCTCATGATTTCAACTGGATGACTCATATTGCCATCAAGACAAGGGAGCATCCACCATGGACTGGTCGTTATCACTGCTTATGGGCAGCGTGGGAGGGGGATCAGAAAAGCGTTCTCGATGTCGATTTTCGACTGGGCTCATGAAAGGCCCGGGCGTGCTGGCAGTACTTTCAATCGCGGCTTCGTCCCCGCTATCTTCGGGCGGCGCCGAGAAACTCCAGACCTACGAATGCCATTAGATTCTGTTCTTGCCAGTTCGGAGTAACCAAGGGGAAGCTTACCTCCATGACCGTCCGCCCTGACCTGTTCGCCATAATGACTGCTTTCTCCGCCTCGAAGGCTACTCTCCAGACAGCCTCGGCCGGGGTAGATAGTTCTCGCAGTAACTGACCAGTCTCCAAGCTCCAGATCTTGACACGTCCGTCACTGCCACCGCTAACGATACGAGAGCTGTCAAACTGCAGACTTGTCACACTGTTGTCATGCGCTGCCAGACGATGGATGGGTGTATTCGTGATTAGCGACCATATTCGTATTGCGCCATCGGATCCTCCAGTAACCAGCGTATCGCCACGCATTTGTAATTGTCCAACCAGAGACGTGTGACCCTGCAAGATGCCATTACATTGTCCGGTCTCAGGGTCCCACATGCGTACAGTAGTATCCAGACTACCCGTTGCAATGCGCTTGCCATCGAAGGCGACCGCATATATTTGGCTAAAATGACCTGACAAAGTCCTCAGACACCGTCCCTCAGATATGCTCCAGATTCGTGCTGTGGTGTCGTAGCTGCCGGAGACAACAAGATCGCCATGTATGGCTAGGCAACGAACACTTGCCTGGTGTCCAACCAAGACATTCTTGCAAGTGCCTGTGGAGAGATCCCAGATCCGCAGGGTCGTGTCTCGTGAGCCGGAAATAGCCGTGTTCTTGTCAGACATTTTCAAACAGCGCACTGTGGACGTGTGGCCACGCAATAGGTATATTGCGGCCCTAGTGCAAACAAACCATTAGTACTGAAATAATCCATATTTGGCTCGGAAATTGCTGGTGGCTTACCCTGTAGCCATGTTCCACACCCGAACTTCTCGATCGCACCCACCGCTCACAAGGATATCATCCCATGGGACCATAGCCCAGACACCCATGACATGGCCTTGTAGGGTTTTCTGGTTGTCTCCATTGGTGTCATACACATGGATCTTGGCGTTGTCGAGCGCAACCACGATATACTTCGAAGTCAAGTGGAGGCTCGTAACGACTCCCTGGTCAGGGCTCATATGCCTTTGAGTGCAGCGCCCGCCTTTATTCCAAGCCGATTCAACCATGTATCTCTGTTTGAAATGCGATCTGTAAGATACGGGTCGGACCCGCCGTCTTCGGGACCAGTAGCTCGATGAGGAGAGCCAGTCTCCAGATAAGGAACGTGGGAGTCCCGGAAAGCCGTCCCGAGATTGGAGACTGGACACCATGGACGTGCTCTGCAACGCGCTCAGCGAATGAGTGGTGGATACAGCATGGAGAGGCTGGCCGTCAACAGGGTCCACGATGTCTCGATCGTCATCCGAAGGGCGCTGATAGGCATATGAATGCTTCTCGCACAGATTCATCCAGGTGATGTCATCGTTTAATAGTTCGCGCCATCTTTTCGAAACTTGTGATGCTCTTGCTAGCGTCTTCGGATCATCGATAAACGAGAGAACCTAAGGAGATTGAGGTGCACGGGTCAACAGGGCCACAGCGGCTAATCAAGAGCTCGAGAAGATGGCCACATACCCGCAAACATAGTTCGTTCGGGAAAACCTGAAAGGGGTCTTTCCTTAATCGAGGAACAACAAAACTCCAGACAAAGCTGAGCTGCTGAGGATCACATAGACCGAGAAGTCCTTCGAGGAATTTTTGTTTCTTGGCGTTGGTTAAAGAGGCAAAGTGCATCTGAGTGTTCAACAAAACATCTTCATCCTCTTCTACCGCTGTCTGCCAGGTCGGTGATCTTTGATGAGGGGTCGGACTCGGAGCTGGAGTAGGGGGCGATTCAGGCGCCGAAGGCAAAAGGTTTGCTGGGATCGAGGGGCCAGGCTTGGTTGAGGAAAGAGACCTCGAATGAGTACTGGAGATGGAAGGAACTGCGTTCTTAGCTACACAAGATCGATTATGCGCCGTTGCCATCTCGTCAGAAGCACTGCGCGGACTTATAATCCCGTCATCTGCTGAATCTTGAGTGCTCATGGCGTGCCGCGCTAGAAAGCGGCTATATCATCAAGTGATTTGCGCGGGCCACCAAGCTTGATTGTCGCACGTCGGTTATAACAAGCCCAGACTGACCTCCTGATACTTCAACACATTCGCGATATGATAGCGTTGATTGGGTGTCGAGTGACAAGAACGAGAGACAATGTTGGAGATTTGAGAGACGGAGATGGGTGTGTAAGGAGACGGGGGTGGGGAGGGAGGAGCGAGGGAGGGAGCGAGCGTAAAGGACAAAAGAGAGATAAGACGGGGGAAGTGGGTGCTCTCCGGCGGTAGTGTAGTGATTGTGAGGAGAGGAGGGAGGGCTGACGATACGGAGTCAACGGGGAATAGGGGGGTGGGCAGGAGCAGCAGATATCAAGTAGTGACGGGCGAGAATGTTTTATACGGTAGAGAATGGCCGGGCAATCAGATGGATAAAAATAACAGAAAGAAAATAGAACCAGGAAAGAAAAAGTTAAAATGAAGACTGGAGATTCGATATCCCGCGGCGCAGAGACAGCGGTAACAGTCGCAGGCGAACGTTGACTGAAAAGTGGAACAGAGAGCTTGGAGACTGGAGAGGGGGAGAATGAGAGAGAGAAGAGACAAGATTATTACGCTTGACCTTTTCCCGCCGACGACGCCATCCAGAAACTGGGTCTGCAAGTCAGAAACGGGGGTGGTGGGGACGTGTGGACGAGACTAGACCAGACTAGACACTCAGAGAGAGACCGATAGACTCGATAGAGCAATAGAGAGACCCAGGCTGGGAGACAAGTCAAGACAAGACAAGAAAAGACGATAGAAAAGAGAGGGGGGAGGAAGAGGGGGGGAGAATTAGTGGGTGAAAGACTGTAGCGATGTAGCACTGTACGTAGTCCAGTGGAGGAGATGGAATGAAGCAGGACAGGATCGGAGCGGACCTACAGGACCTACAGGACCTACAGGAGCAGCAACACTAAAAGCAGAGTCAGTCTACTGTAGACACTAAGCACTAACTTACGGGCAGGGCAAGCAGGCTGGGGCCGGGGCTGGCTGGAATCATGCGATGTCGTAAGAGAGACTCGAAAGAGGGTCAGGTGCAGTCCCTGAAAGGTTTAGTGTGGTTCAGGGAGGGCCCGAAGCCGCCAAGCCCCCCAGACCTACTCTAAGTAACAGTAAATTCGACATACAGTCCATGAGACAAGTCCTGACTGTACTTCTTGCTTCGTACAGTACCTACCTACCTACATGCATGCATAGTACTGTACCTATGTGAGCTCCCTCCTCCATCCCTCCCTCCCCCCTCCCCACCTATCCCTCCCTCTATCCCTCCCCCCTCCCTTCTTCCTGGAACAATACTCGGAATCCCGCTCCCTGCCTTCTGCTCCTCTTCTCTCCCTCCTCTCTTCTACCCCTGCTTGTTCAAATCTTCGACTCCTCCATCCACTCGTCCCCCCTCCATGCGCCTGATCTGTAGGATGTGGACCCCTGCTTTCTCCACCCTCCTTCCATGCATGCGACACATCAGCACAGCAACCAGAAGGATTAGTTATGCGATCACAAACTCCCACACTGGCAATTTTCAAAGGAAAATAAATAAAGAAAATGTAAATAAAAAACCTGCCACCAACGACAGAACGATCTCCGATGGACTATGAGGTGGCGCATGCCCTTGCACCACCATCTGTCGTCAGAGGCAAAGTGAGATCCAGATGAAGCTCCTACAGGTACTGCACTTCCAAAGTCCTACAATCTCCGAAACAAGGTCAACTCCTTCCAGAGTCAAGGCGGGAAGATAACCCCCTGTCCGATTACAAATCTGCCCTCCTCACGTCCCCCCCTTCTCCCCCTCCCCCGCGCAGAGGATGCGACCTCGCAGCGCTAGTTGTCGGAATAAAGGGCGCCTGATTCGAGATATAGTTCTTCCGAGTCCCTGGATGGGAGTCGGCAGGATTTGTCCGACAACCGTGGAATCGGGGGAAATCCAAGGGCGATTCAAGCTTGCCGAGTGGTTTTTCTAATCACTTTCCGTTGTTATGCGGGGAAGGGCTGATCGTGGTTCGGTTTTCCGGGGGACCCCCCCTCCTTTCCCCTCCATAGTTCCTGGGTCAGTCTACATACGTAACCATGACCACCTCGAGCTAATAAACATGCAAGATTAACAACAACTTGAACTTGTTACGGAAATTATCTATACAAAGTGAAGCACCCCCCTCCCTTCCATGCGTAGTAAAGATAAGAAACAGAAAACCGCAGCACCGTTTCTATACCAAGGTTTATATCACAAGCAACTTATAGTGTCAAACAAAGGATATCAATCCTAGTACCGGTGTAATGTATAATGACAAGACAGTTCCCCCAAGAGCAATGGATGTGGAAGAGTTGTTTTTGCAGCGACGTCCTTCGCTGATTATGCACTCGTAAATCGATGGAGTCGAACAAGGATAAGAATCCAATATAAGATTAGTCTACATCGCGCCGAATGAATCGCCTCTTTACGGCCTTTGAGACTAGTGAGCATGACCTAATTGCAGGAACAATGGCAAGATCATGCCGACGACAGAAGCGATAAGATCTCTCATAGACTTGTCGTGCTTCGCTGGGAGATCCCGAGGATCACCATACCCGTTGGCGGGAGATTCACGTGAGGTGTTGGGACTGTTTTCTTGCATCGTATGCATGGCGACATATCTGCAGAACAGTTAATTCTTATCCTGACCGGAGCGCGTCGAAGGGAGAGCTCACAAGAAGGTGCCAGCAGAGAACAACAGCAGTACACCTGTTCTCCAACGCGTACTCATTTCGTCGCCGCTAGAGCCCGAGCCCATGACTTGCACAAATAAGAAAGTCATCAGGGCTCCCAAGGGGGCTGCCAAACTAAAAACCAACAAATGCGCTCTAGCGGTGCGGCTAGAAAGTCCCTGCTTAAGCAGCACAGAAGTGAGACCGAAAGAAGCCGGAGCCTTATGTACCATGATCGCAAGGAATATGATAAAGCTGAGCCCGGAGTCGGAACTGGATGCACCCAGGGCGATTCCGTCAGCGGCAGCATGGATGACGAGTCCGGTAGTCGTGGCGAAGCTGTGACTACTTTTGGGGACATTTCCAGCATCCAGGAGACCTCCTTCCCGCGACGGGGATGAATTCCGTCGCAACCCCGATCCCAGGTTGTCCAGTGATATGTGGTAGGGGGTTCTCTCCTGTTTGCTCGGCGATGCTAAAACAGGGAGCTTGTCAATGAGGTACATCAGTATGAAGCCACTGATCAGCGCAATTCCAATCCATGCGTGAGGCGAGTTCTTCTCCTCATGAGCTTTGTGTTCGGTGTCGCCTGATGTTTCTTCTTTCCGTTCATGTATCTGGGTTTGTTCATCACGGGTGACATGTACCGTAGGTGTAGTTGGCACGCTGTCAAAGTCCGGCGCAGGCGCCTCGACTGTATCATCAAAACTCAAAATATCTCTCGGCTCGTAGACCTTGACTGCCGGCGATTTATGTATTTGCCAATTGACGGCTGTGGATGTCGACCGGGTGCTGATACCATTGCGGACGGCAGGCGAGCTCGCGCTGTACAGGGTCTCCACCCCTTCTGGAATAATGACAATCAAAGATGTTCCAACCAATACTCCCATACCAATGGAGGATATTAGCCTCAGCTGGGAAGGGGAGAGTGTGAAGGCAAGTGGTAATGAGCCCACGACAAAAGATCTGCCGAGTGGAAGAGAAGCGGTTAGCGTGGGAGTTGTTTGTGACAGTGGACGATACCTTCATGGGAACGATGGATACTCACGTAATTGCCATCACAATGCTCAGGGCGAGCAGAGTGAAAAGTCCCTCCATTGTGTCTTCGCCGGTCTAGAAGGTTTCAATCATGATGCCAATTGCGAAAATAATGTTCTCGGCACGCCCCTGATCCTACGTCGGTGGCGCTGCGGTGTGCGTATACGCCCGACAACAAAATGTGCGGAACGTGAGGGGACAACTGAAGATAATGAGGGAATAAGAGGACAAGGTCCGGGAGAGCGGAGGGCGTAAGAAGTGTCTAAGAACTGAAAACGTGGCGGAGGTGGACAGCTCTGGGTTAGGCCTAGTCTAAGTTCTTAAGTCGACGGAGTTGATTATTGCGATCCGCTGCCGCAGTGGGCAAAAAGAAACCTACGGGCTAGGAACAACGCCCGGGCCCAGTCAAGAGACACGGGAAGACCCACCGCTCAGGGATGGAATGACGGAATTGGAGACACCCGTTTACATGCAGTCAGTCTACTGATTGCGGTGCAATGCAGTGCCCATGATTCATAAGTATAGGCACATTAAGCATAGATGCCATTCCTTTTCGATCTCATAAGCTAGCGCGTTCAGTGAGCTTTATTTCTGCCCCAGTCGCTCCGTTCAGGACTTCTTAGCTTGGGTCTGGAATAATTTCCTCAAGACTGCTTCTTTTTCGCGAGCTGTTCAGCACTCAATGATGCATACGCGGTTGACTTGGGAGAGAAGTTCTTTTCCACTCAGTCCCTGCTTTGCCTCAAGCATTGCCTTCGCCCATCCCATATCTCCTGGATGGTTCCACCGAGTTTGCTAAAGAAAAAAAAAAAAGAGGCGCCAATGCCACCTTCACCTCTCCGCTGGCAGTTCTCGAAGAAACTGTTCCCTGCCCATCTTAATAGACCGATACTGGTTACCAAGATCGTATCGAGATCCTCCACATTGATGGCCATCTTTGCTTCTCTCAATAACATAGAAATTAGCCGCTTACCCACAAAGCCCGGGATCTGTTGACAGGTCACCACTGGCCGATGTCTTGAACCAGGTACAGACAAACACGCACGCGCGAGCTCGACAAGCTCGAGCAGAGCCCTGAGGGCAAAAGCAGCTCTTAGCAACGGTGCAGTAGATGGTACATTGAAGGAATGAGCCACCAACAATGATTCTCATCGCGCATCTTGAGTCACTAAGCGGACACGACGATACCCGACATACCATCAGCGGTAGGAGGGTCAGCCGCAAGTGGATGCTAGCCCAAATATTTAGAATGCGTCTCCTCCAACTATTCCTCTAAACCGAGCATTATATCAAGCACGTTGCTGGTTGTATTATCACGGGAAAGATGCAGAGCTGCCGTAGATATTCATTTGTTCCGATGCCTAGCAACGCGATTTGCTGAAGATTGTGAAGCGAAGAACACCATGTTCGATAATTCTTGGATCAGTCGATCGTTGTTTCTTCGTGACTCGTGTACTCTGCCATCAATCGGATCAACTATGAGGATGCAGTCTGCTGATGAAACGGCTTTCCGGTGGTTTCTGCCAGCGCGATAGTATACACCGTAGTGCAAAAGTAAGAGCCGAGGTTATGCATAGTCAAGATTTAGAACGTGTCCAGCTATGATGCTCATAAGTTTAGAGAATAGAAATCGCAACGAGGACATCGATTCCAGCACGTTGCACCCTGAGCTTTTCTTCACCTGTACAGCTACTCCATAAGTATAGTATATGTAAAAGTGATCCTCATTCACTTCTTCACCACTGCAACCGAGCTCACTTTCGACGCGCTAAACCCGAAACAGTTATACCCAGCTCCGCCGCGCAACGCGATCGATTCGGGCAACACGCGCCGCCTTCGAACGCAATTAATGTAAGAACGAGAGGGTCTACCGTAGCTTTCTTCCACCCCATCTCTTGAGCTCATCGCTTTCTCAAACATTCCTCAACTACGTGTCTGGCATCATGGCAAGCGACGGCGATTGTAATGAAGGCCCCCCCTATCCCCTCTTCTTCTGCCACCTAACTGACCACAAAAAACCTGCTTCTACAGGGACTTGCGACGCCAATGACGCCCTCCAGCTGTCTTTAGTCCAACCTGCTGAGGATGCGAGACTCAAGACTCTCTCCGACTTCCAACCTCAATTCACATACCCAATCTTTGGCGATGAAGAGCAGATCTTCGGCTACAGAGGCCTGATCATCCGCATGCGATTCGCTGCCCACGACCTCCGCCCGCATATTCACATATCCTACGATGAGAAATTCAAGCCCGTGGGCGATATCGCCGCCGTCGATCTACTGAAGACTCTGAAGCCATGGATTCCTGAAGGTAGAATGACATGCCATCTCTTGCCCCCCTTTCCCGCATCTCTCGGATTCGCGGGCGTCATAGCTCTTTTGTTCTAACTTCAACGGTGGTTTCTTAGAGGCTTTCGTTGTACTCCCCGATTATGAGAAGGCTGTCTTGGAGGACAAGGACGCCAAGGACTTTGTACCTCCAGGCAAACTCGTTCACAGCTACGTCACCCGACAGAGAACATATGAGGTCTGGGCAGGGTCTCTAGCCGATCCGGAGGTGCGGCGACTATTGGATCGCGCGCAAGTCTTCGTTTCACTCTTCATCGAAGCTGGGACGCCCATTGTCACGGATGATCCTGAATGGACGCTGGAAAGATGGACGGTCTACTTTGTGTACGTTTCGCATACTCTATGTCATAACTGGTACCAAGCCGCGCTTATCATGCTAACAACGCTTTCAGTTATGAGAAGGTCAAGCCGCCGGTGCCCACTGCTTCACAGTATTCCATTGTCGGATATGCGACAACATATCGTTGGTGGTTCTACCAGAGAGACAAGACACAAAAGCCCGCCGTCCAAGATAGTCCTTTTCCTCCGGCGGAGGTGATCAGACCCGCTCAGCTTCCGTCGCGTTTGCGAATTGCTCAATTCCTCATACTTCCTCCTCATCAAGGCTCGGGCCACGGCATTCATTTGTACACGACAATCCACAGCGCTTGCATTAGCGACCCCACGATTTCCGAACTGACCGTTGAGGACCCGAATGAAGCCTTTGATGCCCTTCGCGATACCGCCGACTACCACATCCTTCGCCCCGAATTTCAGAAGCACGAGCTGAACATCAATCCAGACCCTTATGGAGTACCGGCGAAGAAGCCCCGCCCTCGGCGCGTGCCCACATCTGCTCTGATTCCGACCAAGCTGCTCTCAGAGATCCGCTCCTCGTTCAAAATCGACTCCACTCAATTTGCTCATATTTCGGAAATGTATCTCTTGGGTCAGATCCCTCTTAAGAAGCGACTAGCTGGCGGAAGCAACATGGCCCGACTTTTGGTCAAGAAGCATAACGCGAATGACCCCGATGATAAGCGGTATTACTGGTGGCGCATGCTCACGAAACAGCGTCTCTACAAACGCTCTCGAGACCTCTTGATCCAATTGGATCTGAGCGACCGCATCGAGAAGCTGGAGGAAACGGTCACCAATGTTGAGGAAGGTTATGAAGCGCTACTAAAAGCATTCAACGCTCGCGAAGAGGAGTTGAAAGCCAGAGAAGAAGAGCTGAGTGACGAAGCAACCACGGAGTCGACTGTTGTCTTCGATGAGTCGGGTGAAGGCTCCAGAGCACAGCGCAATAAGCGAAAACTCACCGTGGAAGATGACGAGGATGAGGAGGAGGACTCGCCGGTCAAGCGACCGAAGGCGTAAATAGCGGAGCGTTCGCGCACGACTGATCCTTGCTCGATGAATCCCGCGACAAGGTCAATGTACTAATAAGCTTTATGATCTATCCAGAACCATTTCTGCAATGAGCCATGGCTGTGTATATGATCTCTCATTCCGTATTACTGTAAATGCATGTGCAGATCATGATCTGTAGCTAGGTGGGGGGGCCGAATCTAGTGTATCCACTGATTTCACCGTCTTAGAGGACCCGGGCCCATGGCTTACTCGACTACTAGTCGCAGTAAACGTGATGGTTGATAATCCGACTGTCGACGTAGCGAGCGTCTCCGAGGACATGCGGCGCTTCCCATGCAGGCTTGCTTTCTGATCACCATCTGGTTGGACCAAATCCTGCTGCGCTGCGCTCTGGATGTTCTCCGCCCCGATCAATTTCCCGACGCATGCAAGTGTCTGTCTCAAGTTCTGTAGTTCATCTTGCATGCCTCTGGGCCGAGAAGACGCGTCCGAGCCCACTTGCATTCGACCGGGATCTTCCGGCGGCATGTCTATGACGAAGAGTTCATTCTCGGGCTCCGGAGCTGGCGATTCGGTAGTAGGTTTCCTTTCCCACCAGCGATGCCATCGGAGCCGTCGGGCTGCAGCCTTGTAAGCCCGGCGAGCTTTCCTCTCTTCACGCTGCGCTGCTCGATCGACCCGGCGGCGTTGACAGTACATCGTGTTCAGACAGATCCGGTAGGCCACGGCGCATACGGCAAGTAGACAGGCGAGCACGACGAGCTTCGTGATCGACACCTGGTGTCTGTACTCGGAGATCTTTCTGAGCAAGCCGCAGCTCCGGTCGGAATCTTCGGCCAGACATAGCGACCGAGTCATTTTGGTCGCGGCTTTGTTGTCTACTACATAGGGCATTTAGAATCCTGTCATGAGTGGTTTCTGGTACGGTATGAAACTACTGACTGAGACGCGTTGGGAAGGAATAGTCGATGCTCTTGCGAGGAACAGGGGCACCGTCGACTGTGAAGTCGGTGATGAGGACGAGTATCAATGCTGACCATCGGGATACAGAGCCCAGAGTGGAGATGCGACGCCTGTCACTCATGATGTATATAATCGGTTTCGGGAAACACTTTGATTTTATCTGCAACATTGGAGGATGCGTGAAGATTAAGAAGCTATTCCATTGGTAGTGTTAGAGAGCATAAGCATTGCAGCTGAGGAAAAGTACGCATCCTTCAAATTGGTTGTATTATTTTGGGGGAGCAACAGGCTAAATACGGACACAGGCGATGGAACTAAGCCAGGGTCACTGGACGGGCTCGCTCGGCTGGCCACTTTAAGGAGATACGCAGGCTGGCCGGCCAATCGCGGGGCCATGTTTTTCCGGATTGCCCCGATGCTGCGATCACCGCCACAGCATGGAAGCTCATGCGGAGCCTCTTCCAGCCCGCGCTCGTTACCACATCTCAACCCTGATTCTTGCTTCGATATTCACATTGCGATCTCGATTTCCCACCCTTTCCACACTCAATTCCAGCTTGCCGGTCTCAGAGATTCCCGGACCATTAATCAAGCGATCGCGCAAGCGCGTATCACTCTACGTACCAATTCGATATCC